GCACAGAGCACTGCTCTCGAAGCTTCCAGCCTATGGGCTTCCCAAGAAATCACGCGATTGGATCTCCAGCTTTCTGGCCGATCGGAACATCAAGGTCGTCATCGACGGAGCATGTTCCAACCTAAAACCCGTAAACGCTGGGGTCCCACAAGGCTGTGTTCTATCCCCGACCCTATTTCTTCTGCATATCAATGATATGTTGAAACTTAGCAACATTCATTGCTATGCGGATGGCAGCACTGGGGATACTTTTTACACTGGCCGGGCAGGTATTTCTCGGGCAGTTGTTGATGAGTACCGGAACAAACTTGTGTCTGAAGTCGAAACTCTACTACGCGGAGTCTTAGATTGGGGCAGACAAAACCTAGTCCAATTTAACCCCAAGAAGACACAAGTTTGCGCGTTTTCCGCTAAAAAAAACACCCTTTGTCGCTACTCCTCTTTTCAAAAACACTCTTCTTAAAGCCACAGCCAGCATTGGAGTACTTGGCGTTGACATATCGAGCGACTTTCAGTTTCGCGGTCACTTGGAGGGAAAGGCTAAATTAGCCTCCAAAAAGCTTGGTGTGCTCAGCAAGGCGAGACGGTACTTCACTCCGGGCCACCGCATGCAACTATATAAAGCGCAAATTCGGCCCCACATGGAGTACTGCTCTCACCTCTGGGCGGGGGCTCCCCAGTACCAGCTCATTCCACTTGACCGTATACAACGCAGAGCGGTTCGAATCGTCGACGACCAATCCCTCTCCAAGCGGCTTGATCCTTTGGCGTTTCGTAGAGGTGTGGGGTCACTCTGCATCTTCTACCGCATTTACCATGGAGAGTGTTCAGAGGAGTTGTTCGGATTAATACCTGCAGCTGAGTTTCATCATCGGACGTCGAGGCAGAATACGAAATTCCACCCGTATCACCTCGACGTCCGCCGTTCCACAACTGGGCGTTTTTCAAGGCAGTTTTTGCCACTATGTGGAACCAGCTGCCCATTGAAGTATTCCCGAACCAATTCGACTTAGGGTCCTTCAAGAAAAGAGCGTACCTATTCTTAAAAGGCCGGCAACGCACTCGCGAGCCCTCTGGCATTGAGAGTGTCCATGGGCGGCGGTATCACTTAACATCAGGTGAGCCTCCTGCCCGTTTGCCCCCCGTTCTATAAAAAAAAAGGAATATAGTGCAACATGTAAATAAATAATTTGAACTTACAACACCATCTGTAGGAGTACAATGCTGTCCCTCTGTTCCATTTAAGTTGCAAGTGCATGGCTTGCAATTAGGATAGTCAAAGTACCCATATGCACAGGAGTCACAATTAGGAGGGTTAAACTCGCGTCTACATTCACAACGGCCTGTTTCCTCCTCACAGTTACCAGTAGAATAGTGGAGGTCGCAGTTACAAGCTACAAATCAAAAGATTTAATCTGATATATCTCTAATTAATTGTCCCAAGTATTTAGCAATTACACAAGTGCTGTATCAATAATGGTGCCAGTTTCTACTTTTAAACAAAACAGCACATAAAATCATTATCATTATGCTTGTTAAGGAAACTTATCACAACTATCTACATTGAGACCCCATACTTATTTTAAATAAAACACTTACGTTGGCACACATCAATTTCATCCCACTTTTTCCCATAGGGGCGATAGAATGTGGGTTGGCATTTGTTGCAGTTGATGCCTTCAGTATTATGCTGGCAGTTTTTACAAGCTCCTCCACCTTCATACCGGCCATGGATATCAAGTGATAATCTTTTTTCATCAATCGCAGGGTCATATTCACATTCCGTAGTGTGATTGTGGCAATTACAAGCTAATTGAACAAAAAATTCATATTGTTACGGTTTTTATAAGTATATTTACAGGGTGGTCAAAAAGTCGTGGATCAAACGCAAATAGGGGATAGATGAGGACATCAGAAGCAAAAAAATGTTCTACTGGAGGTCTCTAAGCTCAACCCCTGCAGAGTTATAATTTATTTTGCGTTTTTATAAAAAATGACTTTTTTTACTAATTCTTATTAAAATTCGAAAATATCTACATCCTGTATCTTTTTCATAATATCCACTAGATTAGTACTGATGAGCTCTTGCGTTAGACATACTATTTATAGTTGTTTATTGAGTGTATTGAAGATAATATGAAGTTATACGATATAAAAAAAATTCCATCTGTCCAATTTTTTAATTCTAGACCGATTCACACAGCACTGGTCACAGGTAGGTAATTTTTTTTCAAATTATAACTTTTTGTTTACTTTGGACCCCACTGTGAAAAAAAATTACTCTACCGAAAAGTGACCCTGCATTACAAGTTTTGGCACATTTAATAGGGATTCTGAAAAGGTATTACACATGGCCATGAGTCGCTCTAATATCTTTCTAGGACGAAAAAACAACAACAACCATTCAGACTTATGATAGATTATTATATGATAAAATCTGCAGTTAAGTCAGTTAGTAATAATATCAGGTTAAAATGAAGCTATGTAAAGGTTCACAGGATTATCTGACTTCAGTATTTATGTTCTTATCTAAAAGCAATGAGGAATTTTACACAAACTAAGTATTATCTAATACATTTATTTTTTAAGTTTTAATCATAGGAATATGTTGAGAATCTCCTATTATTCATGTTTATAAACTTGTTAAAAAAGAAATATGTTACTAACATCAGAATTAACATTTCCTACAATAATTTTTGAATTAGAAACCGGAAACTAGGTCTATTAATAATACGTATATATTGTTTATATTATTGTTGTCTATAGTCCATTGAAATGTTACATTTTTTAGGCCTTACCTAGTTATACAGTCACAAGACATATTTCCTAATCTTTAAACGGAAACACCCACGCGTGTTCTCACGGAATATGCTGACGGACTGTCTAGCTCCCAGTCTCGATAATTAGATATTAAGTTAGTCTTAAGCTAATCACCAATGTAACCGGTTGATTAAATATTAATTAAAAATAAAATTTTATTCTTTTTAAAAACGCTCCAGCGCGACCTCGCGTTTTGACTGGCGCAGCCGGTAGGATTTTCACATCCCGCGGGTATATAACTAAATTGAAAATACTCAAATCGATTTTCTTAGTTCTTGAAATACCGTGGACTGTCTAATAGCAGAGTGAAAATCCGCGAATCAAATAAATAAGTCAAATAGAAGAGCATTAAAATAATATCCGGTGCAGTGTGTGATTAGTGACTCAGGAAGAATGGAATTGGGCTGGCGGTGAGTAAACCTTTTCACTTCCCGCTAAAAATTTCATTTTATTCCACATATTATGTATATATTATTACATTATCTGATTTTGTTTCGTACCAAATCTACGAATAAAATTGTACTCAGAGTGTAATTAGATTAGGAACTGTAGTTTTAAAATTATATTGCACAAGAATAGGCAATATAATATAGATTAAATATATAGATAGATAAAACAAAATTATATTGCACAAGAATAGGCAATATAATATAGGTTAAATATAGAGATAGATAAGAAATTATATTATTAATTAGTACGGATTTATTGCAAATTCAAAATTATATAAGTAATTTAAAGAAGTGTAAGTGATTATATTGTATTTTTATATATAAAAATTAAAGAATAAAAATGTCAATGGAAACATTTAAATTTGTACCAAGGGAGGTTTTGTCCTTGATTCCCAAATATGATGGGACAGAAAACTTACTAAATTTATTTATTGCAAAAAGTGAATATGTGATAAAAGAATTTAGAGTCGAAGGTAATACCGCCCAAAATTTATACTTATTTCATGCAATAACTAGTCGCTTAGTGGGTAAAGCGGCAACGCTATTAAGTGAAAATCAAAATATTACATCATGGGATCATTTTAAAGATATATTGACTCAACATTTCGGCGACCCGCGTTCAGAAGAATGTATAGCAATAGAATTAGAATCATTAAAAATTAAATCTGGAGAATCATATATAGAGTTCTGTCAAAGAATACAAAGTGTTAAAAGTTCCCTAACCTCAAAGGTTAATAGGTTAACCGATGAGAGTATTAAAGCAGCCAAATTAATCATTTATAATAATACGGCTCTTAATGTATTCCTTTATAATTTATCTGAAGATCTTTTACGTATCGTTCGTCTAAAGGGCTGTACTAATTTAGAGAGTGCATTAAGTGTTGTTACTGAAGAGGTTAATTTTCATTATCAATATTCTATTAAAAATAAATTGTGGAAGAATAGTGCATCCCCCCAACAAAATAATTTTAAACCTGGTATTCCTTCTCAAAATAATTTTAAACCTGGCATTTCTCCTCAAAATAATTTAGCATCAAATGTGCCTCCACAGAATAACTTTAAATACGGAATTCCCCCACAGAATAATTTAAAATACGGAATTCCCCCACAAAATCACGTTAAGTTTGGAATGCCCACACAAAATAACTTTAAATTCGGGATACCACCACAGAACAACTTTAAATTCGGGATACCACCACAGAATAACTTTAAATTTGGAATGCCCCGCAAAATAATTATCGGTTTGGAATTTCGCCTCAAAATAATAGTCGATTCGGTATACCTCAACAAAACTATAAATTTGGTTACCAGCCACAGCAGGGTCCTAGATTCGGTATACCACACCAAAAACAGAATCCACAACCAGGTAACACAGACGTTTCTATGCGAACCGCGCCGATAAGACAAAATATGATTAATGACTCTGAATATTATTACGAACCATACTATTACAACGACTATTGCGATTACGATAACTATGAATCAAGCGAAACAGCCATGTGTGAAAATTTTAATTTGTTAGAAAATCAAGAAAATTCTAAAGACAACGAGGAAATAGAATCACAGGAAGTAAATTTTCAGGAAAAAGCCTCGAATCATATTCCGAAATAATAAATCTTAACTATTGTGATAGCATTTTAAAGTTACCACACAAATTAATTCCGGAACTAAACTCAAAATTTCTTATAGACACCGGTAGTAGTCGTTCGTTTATCAGTCCTTCTAAAGTAAATGAATTTTTTTAATGAATATAAAAGCTATGAACCATTTACAGTCGTTAGCACTCATGCTCAAAGTACACATAACGAAGTAGTATACATCCCTTTGCCGTATATTTTTAATAGCCCTTTAATGCATAAATTTTATGTATATGATGTAGATGCTAGATATCATGGTTTAATTGGCTCAGATTTATTAAAGGAATTAGAAGCTAGCATAGATATGAAAAATCAAATACTGTATACAACTGGTTCTGCCATACCTATATTATATAGTCCTCCATACGAAGTTATAATTGAACCCAGAACAGAATCAAAAATTAAAATCCCTACTAACCTACAAAATGGAGATGCCATAGTAGAACAGGTCTATTTCAGTACTGGCGTTCGTATGCCAAATGCTATCGTTACATGTGAAAACTTCTTTGCAACCACCGTTATACAAAATGTATCCGAGAAACCATTTAAAATAACTTTTAAGGAACCTATTAAAGTCTCAGTTTTTAAAATAAGTGAAATTTGTAAAAGTAATTTTATAAATGATACTTTAACAATTGATAATATTTTAAAAGAAAATTTGTCCAAGCTTCGTTTAGATCATATGAATAGGGAGGAACGTGACGCAATCTCTAAACTATGTTACGAGTTTCGTGATATATTTTATTCTGATAAAATTCCTTTATCATTCACAAATCAGGTTAAACACAAAATTAGGACAGTTAACGAAGACCCCATTTATATTAGACCTTATAGACATCCTGCTTCTCAAAATCAAGAGATAGAAAAACAGGTGGATAAACTCTTAAAAGATAACGTCATACAAAATTCATTTTCCCCTTATAGTGCACCAGTTCATTTGGTACCGAAAAAGCTAGATGCGTCCGGCGAACCAAAATATAGAATGGTTATCGACTATAGACGTTTGAACGAAATCACAATAGATGACAAGTATCCTTTGCCTAACATATCGGAACTTTTTGATAAATTAGGTAAATCACAGTACTTTACCACAATTGATTTAGCAAGTGGTTACCATCAAATTGAAGTCCAAAAGGAAGATCAGCACAAAACAGCGTTTACTACACAATCAGGTCACTATGAATTCAAAAGAATGCCGTTTGGCTTAAAAACAGCACCGGCAACGTTCCAAAGAGCAATGGATAACGTTTTACGCGGCCTACAAGGATTACACTGCATGGTATACTTAGATGACATAATTGTATACTCAGCTAGTTTACAAGAACATATAGTAAAACTTAAGAAAATTTTTGAACGTTTACGTGAGACTAATTTAAAGGTTACACTAGACAAAAGCGAATTTCTCCGAAAAGAGGTTCTATACTTAGGACACACCATATCTAAAGAAGGCCTTATGCCAAACAATGATAAAATTAAAGCAGTTTTAGAATTCCCGATTCCACGTACATCAACTGAAATAAAGAGTTTCTTAGGCCTCGTTGGTTACTATCGAAAATTAATTAGAGATTTCTCTAAAATAACTCAGCCATTGACATCTTGTTTAAAAAAAAAGAATAAAATTGACATCACCAAACCCGAATACATAGAAGCCTTTGAAAAGTGCAAGGAACTTTTAGTTAACGCGCCTATTTTACAATTTCCGGATTTCAGTAAACCATTTGTCCTTACAACAGACGCATCCAATGTCGCATTAGGTGCAGTACTTTCCCAAGGTCAAATTGGTAGCGACAAACCCATCGCTTTCGCAAGTCGTACGCTGAACGAAGCAGAGACACGCTACAGCACAATAGAAAGAGAGTTGTTGGCCATCGTCTGGGCGACAAAATATTTCCGGCCTTATTTATATGGACGTAAATTCACGATATACACCGATCACAGGCCGTTAACCTGGCTTAACTCAATAAAGGAACCGAATACCAAATTAACACGTTGGAAATTACGTTTAGCCGAATTTGACTATGATATTGTATTTAAAAATGGGAAGCAAAATTCAAACGCAGACGCATTATCCAGAATTAGGATCAACGCTTTGGGCAATGATGATATCTCGCTAAAGGTAAACGTGGACATAAATGAACGAAATCTTCAAGGTCACATTGACAATCTAACAGAAGAGATAACCCGCTTAGCTAGAAACCAACATCAAGAAAACCCTCCAACACCTATGGAAGTATCTCCAGCTTCTGAACGAACACTCAGTGTGGAATCATTAGGGTCTAGCACCATTACTGCATCTGAAATAATGAGCACAATCCATTCCGCGGAGGATATAGATACAGATGGTATATGTATTCTGCAAGAAGCTATAGACACAAAGCCAAATCAAGTACTTGTATTCCCCTGGAATAGGAAAGAAATATTAGTTAAAAATTTATCTAGGCCGAAACAAAAAATATTAGAGGTACACTTACCTGTGAATAATATAGACTTAATTAAAAACTTTTTAAAAGAATACACAAAACCTAATATAAAATATTTCTTTTACTTTGAAGATGAACAGCACCGTAAGGAATTTGCGGCGGTTACAATATCACTTTTTAAAAAAGGCACTGTTAAATTTTATGAATGCACAAAACGAGTCATTTACGTAGATAATGAAGAGGAACAGCGAGATATAATTATCAAATATCATGATGGGAAAAATAGTCACCGTGGTATTAAAGAGACTTTAATTCATTTAAAAAGAACCTATTTCTGGAACAACATGGAACAAACTGTTGCGAGTGTAGTTAACGCTTGTGAAACTTGTAAAAAGATGAAGTACGATAGGAGACCTCTAAAACCTGAATTGCAATTGACACAAACACAAGATAGACCGTTTCAGGAGTTATTTATCGATACATTTTCAATAGAAGGACAATATTACCTCACTATAGTAGATGGTTTTAGTAAATTAGGACAGGCATTTTTAATAAGTTCACGCTCAACTCCCGAAGTAGTTAGGGCTTTAATAAAATATTTTTCTTTATACGGCGTACCTGGACGAATTAGTGCGGATCCCGGAGCCGAGTTTAATAATGCATTATTAAGAGATCTTCTATCATTTTACAAAATAAATCTTCACATTAGTACTCCACATAACCCCAACTCAATGGGGATAGTCGAAAGATTTCATTCCACCATCATCGAAATATATAGAATAGCTAAATACGAACGGAAGATAACTGATGCGACGGATGTAATGACTTATGCGATTATGTCTTATCATTCAATCCATTCTACTACAGGCTTAACACCCTTTGAAGTCGTATTTGGCCATACCGAGTCTAATCATATATTTTCTGTAGATTTTAATAAAATGTATACACAACAATTAGTTAAGGAACATGCTCGAAAAACTAAATTCTTATATCAATATTTAACCGATAAAATCATACATCAAAAACAGCATTTAATCGAGAAACATGGCGGTGAAAAAGAGTTAGAAATAGACATAGGCGATACCGTGTTTATAAAGGGAGTTAACACGCGACGTAGTAAGGATAAGGCACGTTATCAAAAAGCCCGAGTATTGGGTCCGATTCATAGAAACGTTGTTCCAGTGATAACTCAGAAACGAAAAACTAAGGTACATACTAAAGATTTAAAACGCCCTTCACGGGTTGTTACTCCTGCTGGTACATCTGACCCCAAGCCAGGCCCTTCAACTGCAAAAGATTAATAGAAACCCAGGCCTCCTACCCATTAAAGAAGGTCAAGCAGTAGTAGCTTACGACAGATGGACCGTGATAAAGATTTTAGATTTTAAAGCTATCAACGACGAACTAGAACTAAATATAAATAACTTCTTAACACTTAAAACCGAAGTACAAAATTGTTTCGACACTAGCCTATTCAATTTGCACTTCCAAGAAGTACAGTCACAAACTAGTTTCATAATGAATATAACTGGAAAAATATAAACAATTAGTTCCGACTTCAAAATCTAAACGTGGTTTATTGAATCCTATTGGAACATTCATTAAAGCAATAACTGGCAATCTTGATAATGAAGATGCTATCAGATATGAAGATTTAATTAATAAATTAAAAACTAGACAGGACGCTATCAGTAATAAAATAACCATAGTTTCCGAAATGATGAGTACTGTAACAAAAATTATTAATGTAACAAGGAATAATTTCATTCAAATTAAAGAACGTTTTGAGGACATAGATCTCAGGTTAAACAATTCTAAAATGTTACAAATGAGTAATGAAATTATTCATTTTTATAATATTTTTACCCATAACTTTCAAACTATTTACTCAAGACTAAATGAAATTGAAACAGCTCTCGCTTTTGCTAGGATTAAAATATTACATCAATCTATTATTGATACTAAGGAATTACTGTCAATTTTAAAAGAAATAGAATCTATGTATAATTTAGTATTTCCAGTGAATATTGAAAATATTGTAAAAATTGAACTGAATATTGAGATGGAAGCGTATATCAAACAAAATCAGATAAAGTTTATTATGCACATACCCTTAATTAAAAATGAACTTTATAATTATTATAAATTAATACCTTTACCAGTGCATAGTTATAGTAATAATATATCTAACATTATCCTTCCTAAGTATCCCTATGTCCTAGTGAAAGGGTTGAAAGTCGAGCCGCTCTCACAACCATGCCAAGAAATAGATGAAAACCGATTTTTATGTTCTGAATTTGAAACTATACTGGTATTGAAGGACGAATGTATTACTACACTAATGAATTTTTCCCCCAACACATCTTCATGTCGTCCTGTGCCCGTTCTAATCGAAGATGTCAAGATTTATTTAGTACAACAAAATCATTGGATAATATTTTCGAGAATAGAAACCATTATATCTAAAACGTGTGACAACGACGTTTCACATGAGCCATTAATGGGCACTTACCTGTTAACCCTAGATGATGATTGTTCGATAAGAATCAAGGATTTCAACTTAAAAAGAAACGAACACCAGGGAAACGATATCGCGTTTACCCGATTCCCAATTGTAAACCTACCGTTAATCTCCAGCGAAATTAAGTCACAGAACAAGCGTCTGAATTTAGATGGAATCGACCTTGCAGACGTTCAGCTCTTAAACCTTTTGGTGAAAAATAGTGTTCCTACAAGTGTTAGTGAAAGTGAATTAAATCAATGGTTCTTTGGTATAATTAATATAGTAATAAGTTTTTTACTCATGACATGTGTCATTTTATTAGCATTTAAAAATAGAATTAAGAAAATTATGTTTCAACCTAAACAGAATATTCGAGATCATCCAAACCCTGAGGATAATCTCGATTCTAAGGAGAGAGGAGTTATACAGTCACAAGACATATTTCCTAATCTTTAAACGGAAACACCCACGCGTGTTCTCACGGAATATGCTGACGGACTGTCTAGCTCCCAGTCTCGATAATTAGATATTAAGTTAGTCTTAAGCTAATCACCAATGTAACCGGTTGATTAAATATTAATTAAAAATAAAATTTTATTCTTTTTAAAAACGCTCCAGCGCGACCTCGCGTTTTGACTACCTTGCGTTTTTTAGAGGACGCAATTTTATTTTTTTGATGTGTAGAGGGGGTCAGTGTAAAGCTAAAAACAAGTTTGTGGGGTCGCCACCCTTGTCCCACGGCCGCCATCTTGGAAAAAGGGGTCCTAAAACCACGTTTTTGGCTATATCTCCTAAACTATCCATCGTACATAAAACTTGTAAAGACACATTTTGTAGCAAATCGCTGTGCCTACAATTATGTTTATGTAACTTTTTATCATAAATCCAAAATTCAAAAAGTTATAAGTAAAACGGCACGGCAACCCCACAAACTTGGAGTTAAGCTTGTATTGACCCCCCCTACATGTTCCATAAATAAAATTGCGTCCTCTAAAAAACGCAACCCCAAATGTAACTTTTCAATGGACTACTAGTAAATAGTAAAATCTAGACGATATTTAAGCTGTCAACATCAACTTTTTGACATTTATCTACCTGGACAGGCCACAGACTATTAAGGACCTTCCTTAGCCGTGTTTAACGCCCCGCACTTGAAAAAATTTATATACATAGATATATACAGAGATTTCTTGATTAATTATCGTCATATGTGCAAAAATATGGAATTTATGAGGCATCTCATTGCAGACATATTATTTTGTCTATTGTCAGAAATTTAAAGTCTTACGTTCACAAGAAAATCGGTCCCAATTCTGTGATATACGCCATTTCTTCTGCTCAAAACCGGGACAACAGGCAGCACACTGCGGACCGCAGGTGTTGTGTTGACACCGACACACCAAAATACTTGCATCACTTTCCGGATCAGCTGGATCACAAGTATCTGCATGTCCGTTGCACATGCAGCGCCCACCGATACTAATGTCTTTTATGCTGTAGAAGTACTGTAAACAATTACCATTTTTATTCGGGTAAAATATACAATTTTATTAAAAATATAATTAAAGTAATCATCATGTTTTTACATTTTACGCCTTTAGTACACCTACGCGTTCGTATGCAGCTGCGAGTCTTTGCGAAATAATTGCGGTAGCGAAATATCTGCGGAACGTTAGTACACTGCAGCTTTTTCGCAAGGAAATGTCATTGTAGCTTTATTTCTTACCATCTATCCCCGTGTTTTCTTGAATTTTCCTCCATGCCACCCCTTTTTTTGTATGCATTTTTGTAACTAACATGCCCAACTAAATATAATTCGGGATAATTTCGAATCAAATTTAATAATAATTCAATATTTTCGGCTTCCATTGTGCGAAATTCTGTCCTCACTGACAGAACGCGTGGTGACGCATTGCGATGCGAAACTCCGCTAGCGAAACGGCTGCGTCTGTGTAACAGCCATTTCGCAGTTACTTGCGAAACAATACCGACAAGGACGCAACTATTTCATCTAGCTATATAATAGAGCGAGACAAAACACATGCGAAACGTTGCCATACAACTTACAGTTTTTTCGTCGTTTCGCTGCCGCATGCGATTGCGTAGGTGTACTAAAGGCGTTATTATATTTATGACATAAAAGTTAAATTCATTAAAATGTATCTGTGTTTAGAATTATATGTCAGAAATCATATAAAATATTTCTGACATATAATTTCGCTTATTATAGACTCGACTTTCTATGAAAGTAAGTAGGTATTTGTTTAACTTCCTTCCGTTAGTTGGCTTTTCATTTGCTTTTAGGAGGACTGTCAATTAACTTGAATTCTCTTAAATTTAAAATATCGTAGGTACCTCTTTATTGTCGTCTAATAGTGAAGTTTGCAATGCACAAATATGTCAAATTTATTATCATAAAAGCTATATCTATATAACAGTGTTGAGTATATAGAAATTCTTACTCGTCTTGTAACAGTTGGATCTTGTCGTGCCACAGACATAAGATGCCCCAGTAAGTTCTTCGTTCTCAGCAGACGAAGTCTTACGTTTGTCGCACGGGTCCATTCTTGTAATACTGATGAGTTAAAGTACTTGTTTGCCGAAGGACGGTAGTTCAGCAGTGAGATTGGGATCTGAAATTACATACTGTATCTTGAAAACCACCACGAGACATCACGACAAGCGCGATGTTTTGGTTTATCCTAAGAGCAAGGGAGGATTAAATATCCAAGGGTGCACAGATGCATTACTACTAGCCTAATGGCAGGATTACACTATTATCTTATCTATGCACTGTTTTATTTTATTTTACGTGCAGCAAATTAGCGCTCTTGTTGTAGAACGTACCTAAACCTCATAAAATTAAAAATAATAACAATAATTCCAGTGGCACTTCCTCCCTATATAGGTCATTCTATATAGGATTTTTATAGACTTGACACTTTTCAGCCTTCTATGCTGGGGATTTAAGGGTTAAGAATTGCCGGATTAATTCACCGTAGGAGCAAGTGTAATTGCCTTAGGGTTAATAGTTTCATGCTAGGCCAACACTGCTTTAATAGTTAAAGAGTATTTTGTTTTATTCATTTCCAAAGTGAAGTTTCTATTTGCCATCGTCCCATCGCAGGGTCCGCTTTCGAAGTGTAAAGTAATAGTCATAATCATAAGGGAGCCTTAGACATAGACAACCAGAAGATTATTACAGAAAGGTTTCTAGAATATAGAGTATTTTACTTACTTCTCCTCCTTCCAATGGGACAATCTTCGAGTACTCAGTACTACATATTACTGAGTCGTCGCTTGTGATTGGTTGCAGACTTGTTTTCCCGAAGTATCTTTCGCAGTCTCTAAATAAATTAATGTGTGTATTAATATTGCTATCAATATTGCATGTTCACTGTTAGATAAAATGTAAATGAACAGCCTTTCTATTTGAATTATTACAAAGTTTGATCAGAAATAACATGTAGTAGCAATATTATATTTATTTGTTGCGTTGATTACCCAAACATACACCCTAACTAACATAACCCAACACACCCGAATTATTATTATTAATTAGGTACTTACCTATACTTATTTAAATGTATTTCTCTATGTTTATGGTTCTTTTTGTCCAGTTTTTTAAATGTTTAAATCTTTTTCTATATTTTGTGTATTCCATCTTCATCGCTATTTTTGTATAATTCGCTGTAGGATTATAAAATAAATAAATAAATTTGAATGAATAAGTTTACTTACTGAGGAGAATCAGAGAAATATTGCCAAGGCTTGAATGTCTTCCCATAGTCCGTCGACTTTTCCAGCGCCCATAGACCCGGTCTTGGTGAATTCCCCATTCGGACAAACACATACGCCACGTGGAATTCCTGCAAAACAATGTATCTTTATTTAATTCGTAATATAGGCCGACCAACAAACATGTCTATCGATTATATTTTAGAACCTGGTTAGAAGAAAATTCAGTGGCATCGCTAGCATAGCAGAACAAGCATCTCTGTATAATACGAATTATTATAGGTAAAAAAATACTTTGGTGCAACTTTAGAACATATACAAATCGAAAATGTCGTTTACAATACCACAGGTATGAGATTATTAGGTTTGTGCCAAATATACTATTTTTAAAGTACCGTGCCACATTTGTCTTACTAATATTATAATTGCGAAAGTTTGTAAGTATGGATGGATGTATCTTACTCTTTCATGTAAAAACTACTGAATGGATTTTAATGACTCTTTACAATAATATAGCTTATGCATCAGAATACTACACTACAGATATACTACTACAGATATTGTGTGAGTTGTCCAAAATATTAGGTAAGTAGGAAAAAATGTACCATCTGCGAGCAATTTAGGCGTGCGCTGCCAAAACTGGTAGAGTTACACATAAGTAATGTATGATGGAAATGTTTATCTTAAATAGTCCTACAAAAAAGTCACACGTCACAAGACATATCTACATCTTATGTGTAAGCCATTATAGCCAAAATAGTAAACCATACCTACAATAAAAATTAATAATTTATTCCAAATGCACAAAAATTTCCTAAATGAAAATAGATACTTTTATCGCTTCTGGTATTTAAAGTAAATAAAATATGTCTTTCACGCTACATCATTTGGAGAAATATTATTCTAAACCTGCACAGACGATGTCACGGGCACCAGCTAGTAAGTAAATAAAGTAATTATATTATGGTCTCTTTCGCTAATATTCGCGGAATTAGTTAGCTAATCTGTTTATATAAGGCAAACGGGTGACGATATTGTCATGACCAAACAAAGGATAGTGTTCAAAATGTATTACTTTCTGAATGAAACTATTCTCGGCGTCGCTCAGCAAGAAATTCAATTTTCGCATTAGCAGATTCGCGTTTTCGCACCGTGTGCGTATAGTCTATCGTTGTTCATTGAAAACATTTTACTGAAGGTGTAGAAATCAAATTATAAGACATTTATATTATTTATGATCGCAAAGCTTATGCATTGCTCCTGAATAGCTTACTAAAGTTTGGAGCTTAAGAAAGACACGATCTCCGATCGGTTTCATCGCAATATTTACTATAAGCAAGTAATACTTTCGATAGGAGTTCAATTCAAAGTTTCAAGTTAAAACATAATTTCTAATGATGACAAAAGCCTCCATATTAAATTATAATTATTGTATATAAACCTCGTACATAATATAAGTCTACAATAATTACAAAACAGCGATGTCATTTCGGGTCAATGCACTTTCAGCATATGGACTATTTTAGGAGGCAAATGTCCCGGATTACTACAGAGTACTATCGTTCTTGGTAGTAATGCATCATAGTTATTTTCTATAATAAGTTACATTTAGTAATCATAAATCCTGAGTAAACGAATTAGCCAATATATTATTATATCTTTTTAAATATTATAAATATCTAAAAACAACAGTCATGGTTTTCCTTCACGACATGTCATGTCGGACGGGAGGTCCTTGTTTAACGCATTCTTGATTAAAAATAAGCATAGCATACCAATAATTTAATTTAATCATATGGGTATAATGAAATTGTTTATGTATTATAAAATTCAAGTACCTGGCCCAGATCAATGGTGAGATTGACTTCGTTGTATTTCATGCCTCTGGATAGTGGAGGACTCTGCCACCACGTTTCCATACCGTCGACTGCAAATTCTGGCGGGTGTTTCTTAGCTTCGTTTGTTGAGTCACATATGTCGCAAACCTATAATATATTTTATCAATTATAGATACATAACTAAATATTAATCTTTTCATACAAGGATCCAGGTACCCGGCCCTATTAGTGTTTCGAAAACACTAATTGTTTTGGGCTGGTAGGCACAGAATTATCATTTATTTTTCTTAATAAATGTCAGTGAAACATGCAGATGTGATTTTGCACGATATTTTTGGCAGTAATATGAAGTTTTTTATGATGTCTCATTTATACTAATTAATATATAGTTTAAAAATCAGCTTATTTCTCACTATACATAAGTGTAAAAATAGGCTGTATTTGAGTGTCCTTAAGTAAGCATTAATAGAAGTAGGCAATACATAGGTATCTACGACAATAATTTACTATCAATGACTATTTCATTGATTGTAACAAAAGATTCATTCAAAACCCAATATGTAGTTCCGTTTATTCACACAATATATTTCTCTTTATTTTGGAAACACACAAAAAGCTGTATCTACAAAACACAAAAAGATTCATTGTGCCGCTTTAGGATAAAACAAAAGCGATTCAAAGACGAGATAACCATTTGGCTACCACATGTCCATAAAAACCGGCGAGTTTTGCCGATCTTTGCCGAATATCGACGAAGCTAAATTGAGTTTTTAAATTGCTTGGTTTTAATTTGTGTTGTATTCTATTGAGAATCATGTTACGTCGTGTATACGGTTTCATATGAATTGCTGTAAAAGCATTCCCCAGTAAATGACGTTGAAAACTAATTATCGTCTTCTCTCTCTTTTACATAGAATCGTGCAACTATTATTTATATTATTATGTTCGTACCTACTAAATCTGACACCACTGATTTTTCTATAGCAAAACGTGATCAACATGGGTCAGTAACATGTTATCGAGTTACAACATAAGTTATCTCCTGCCCAGTTCATAGATAAAATTTCAGCATTTTGTGGTAGTAGGTAGTTTTATTAGTTTAAGTTTAATATTAATAACTGTAATTAATAATATTTAAGTTTAAAGACACAAATTACCATCGCTACGTTATTTGAATTTATTCTAAGCAAGATAAAACCGCAGCTACTTCCTGGGATGCTTCGTTCGCGTGAAAAAGAGAAAATACAATAAATTCCTTTTTACAAAAAATATAATCGACTTCAATGATCATAAAACTCATGTGGAATTAAAACCTTTCGCTATTAAGAATTCTGTTAAAAAGACAATCAAGAATGTCATTGTTTTACTGAGGAATAATGTAGCTTTTTATTAGGAATATTTTTCAACTCATTAGTAGCTCCAGAGAATATTGCAAAACAAACTTTGCAGTATTAGAATATGTATATTGTTTGTTCTAGTATAACGAAACTACTAAGCATTTGGAAGCTATTATCAAATTACACATTTCCAAGTTTTGATAAGAAAAGTGTAACGGCATGGAGATAAATAACCTTTGACCTCGTAATCTTGAATTAAATTTGAATATTAGATATCTTTTTATAAAAACTTGAACATTTAAGCTTATTGAATTTACAATATTCTTAACCTACATAGTAATAATAGGTAATAATAATAATTTAAAAATGGATATTCACCTCGACTTAAAAATTTCACAATTATATTTATCTATAATATACCTGAGTGTTATTATCGTAAATAAAATACGTTACAACTAAAGGCTCGCTGATGAGGCATATTAGGATTCAGTTTACGTAATATATCTAAGGAATTTATGTATTGTAATCGGGCTATTAAATTATGTTTTATCAATGGGATGGCGGGACAACAGGACGTAAAAGATAAGACCCTATCAGCCTCCTCCTTATCTACTGTGTGTGCTATATAAAATTTTGAAACATAGACCTTATCACATCCAAGTTTTAAAGTAAAGAAACAAAATAATTTTACAACATTTTAAAGCTATAGTGATCATGCTCTTGCAAGGATTGATATAAAACTTGAATATTTATAATACTTTATTCCAGACTTAAGTGAACATAAAGACAGGCTTTTTTAGAGGGTTGTACCGCATAGAGCCTACACTACCTTGAGTTTATCGATATTTTACTCATGAATTATACCAAAAAACGCACCTAACGATAAAATAAAATAAATTTATACTGTAGTAATATATAGTACAACTACATCATGCATTCATTTAAAATATATTGATTGATAGCAGAAGTGTCTAACTAAATATGAATGAAAATATTAACCTGTCCTTGAATAACGTGTTCATCGTGATCAGCGTTGGCGCCGGCGAGTTTGCAGTAAAGTTCGGGACCTTCGTCTCCACAGGTCGCTGTTGCAGTTATCTTTTTTCCAAGCGCTAAGTTAAAGTACGGGGGTGTTAAAATTTCTGCGCGCGCGACGCTGCACAATAATAGAAGCGCGATCACACGCTCCATGTTGCGCGAACGCCGTCCCGCCGCTGAATGTCGAGGTATTAGCGCTGCGGGCTTTGAGAGGGGTGGCGAGTGGCCACTAGCGAGATTATTTTTTATCGAATTCAGGGAATATTATCATTTTAGGACAGGATCGGGACTCGCTTGTAATTATGTTAGACAGTGGAAAGGCGATTTTAATCTGGTTGCGGCATGTTTATACTGTTAAGAATATGATACCTTTTTTGTTTGACGAGTTTTAAGACGATTTAAAAAATAAAAGGGTTATTGGACTTCTACTGTGTACACTAATTTTAATGTGCAGTTGCATAAGTTTTTAGTACTCATATTTTTAAATTTTTAAAATAAATAGTTAAAAATAACAAAATATTACCTTTGTAGTTCCTGCATAAATGATAATACATGTATTATATATTTCCTATTTTTGGTAGTTAGGGTAGTTGGTTTTGAGGCCAAAAAAGAACAACTTCTTTTTAAATTGTGTTTAATATGAGTTAATTGATATTACTATTGACGCAGTTCAGCTACCTTGTTCAGTTTACATATTTCACTTACTTGTATATTAAAATAAATACAACAAAATATATTTAAGTGAGACGTGGATTCTGAATATAATCATACTTTAGAAAATCAGAATTTGGGAATATAAATAACTCAAAAGTAATTAATTCAGTTTGTAGAGTCAGTTAAAAGCTTAATATATTATGTGATATCTCATGGTTGGTAAACACTTGCAAGCAGATTTCAATATAATATAGAATACATTTAGATATTTCAATAATACGCTAAAATACGCGATTTCATCGCTTTTGGGGTTGTCTAAAGACATACGGTTATAAATCGTCGTATTTCGTCTAGAAATGAATACTTATAATGAAAATTGCAGTATTGGCATGTCTTGCTGATGGTGTGCAAATCAAGTCTCTAACACAGTGTTTTATTTTAAGAAAAATCTAATCGAAATTTTATTTATTATTCAACAAATTATATATGTATCTTGAAATTATAGCGAATATTGATATCTGTGTCCTCCGTCCCCGTTCTTTTTCCCAAATATATCTTTAATTGGTTTGGTATCATTTATACTTTCTACGCTACTTTGTCGTTGCAAAGATTTAAGATTTGAACTGCATTTGATTCTTCTCAAAGAATCCCGTTTGTCATGTTTTTTATTTTCTTCATTTTCATTAGACGTATTAGATTTTAGGCTTAGGATAACATTTCCAGCTTTTGAATGTTGAAGAATTTCTTCGTCACTTTCCGTAGTGCTTATTGTTATAACCGGAATTACTGAACTTATTGAGTCCGACTGTTTAGATTGATTGCTTGACTCAGATGTTTGTTTTCGACTAAGTTTCCTGTGTACTATTTCTTTTTCAGCCTGGGGTTTTCGCTCTATATCAATATCAGTTATTTCTTGGCTCGTTTGTCTTACTTCTGTTAATAACGCGTTTATTTTTGTATTGAATTCAACTAAGCTACGCTTCTTTATTTCATTGTCTCTATGAACTGTTATATTGTCTTTGAGCTGCAAAACTGCTTTAGGAAAATTTTCATGAAAATCAGTGTCAGTTTCATCGTCACCATTTTGTACATCTGGAGAAGGAACCACCGGCGTATGACCCTTTGTTGTCCTATCTAAAGCTATGCTGACAATTTTAGCAAATATTCCTGAAAATCATTGTGAATGAATGATTTTTTTTTAAAATTTGAATATTACTTTTATTTAGATATATTATGGTTATATACACAAAATACCTTTTCGTTTTGTCGTTTTCAATAATTCCTTAGTATTGTTTTCATATGACATGGCTTTTCTGTCCTCTGAGTCAATAGATTTATTAATTGGAAAGGAAGGAAGAGCTTTTTTCCATCTTCCAAATGGAGTGTTATCAATCGAAGAAGATCCTCCTCGTCTTCTATCCGCTAATTGGAACATTTTTCTTCTCTCTTCTGTCCTTTCTCGACGCAATTGTGTCTAAAATTATGAAGTCATTAAACTCAATTGCCTAAACCTATAAAAAGTAAGTATTACTTGATGAATATTTATATGAAATTACTTACCTTTAAATCATTATTTGCTTCCCTTAATGAATTAGTTAGAGATGTGAGATAGTAAATTATGAGGATCAGCAATACCAATAATGGAATGACTATGGCAGGTGAAGCAATATATTCTAATATAAAGTTTAAACTCTTTGGAAGGATATTATATATATTAGTTGTTAATATTTGATATATTTTATCGTATTCTGAAAAAGGACCACAGTGCCATGAGGGTTTTACACATACAATCGTATATCCAACTGGCAACACACATAGAAATAGCATTGTGAGCAATAGTGCTAAATAAAAATTATTGCTTTTTGAGACTCTGAACACTACTTCGTGAGGAACATTGCAAGTCATTACTGCCCATGATCGAAGATACATCATTATCATTAATTTGAAGACATTTAGAACGACTAGACCAGGTGAAAAAAACATTCCCATCCAAACCATCCCTTGATTATTGATAAGATGCAGTATGTTTTCAGCTATCTTAAAATCACCATATTCAGGGAATTTCTTCTCGAGGTCCCAACACCAACATCTATTCATATACCTCACAAATAATGCTCGGAAAAAGTCCATAAAAAGAGTTCCTAAAAGAACGAAAACCTGAAAAAATTAATATATATATATACTTGACCGGCAAAAATTTACGATTGTTATATTATGAAATAAATTACCTACCAGATCCATCATCGTTAATTTAACTAATTCCTGACCAAACATTGTTTCCCAACATAATTTTAGTAATTTTTTCCTTGTTGCTATTGTGAGATTGTACATTTTTCTCTTAGATTTATCGTAATAAACAGAGTCCACGTAAGTTAACTCTGTTTTATTCAAACTACTCTTTGGGGATTTATTTAAAATACATTTCTTCACCGAGCACTTAATGTCAACAAGCACACAGTTAGACATAAAAAATGTTTGTGTTACATTTTTATCGCCACAATTAACCGAACAATTAAACGATATGTTAGGACATATAGCATTATTTCTTTCATTTTCCACATAGTCAATATTTGCTGAATAGTTTATATCGGGATTAGATGATGTTTTCGTTTCCCAAAGCACATTAATATCTATTTTATGAGCCGTCGTGCCAGAAGCGTCGTTTGATTCTGTTACGACATCCGTTGTTACGTCATTTCCCTCCAAATAGGACTCTGTGAAGCTTGATTCATCAGTATTTAATGATGGAGTTGAAGTTGGTAAAACTGAAGTAGAGTGTGAAAAAGCATCTGTTTCTTTATTTGTGGTAGTATCGCTTATTATAGACCCATCCTCAGTAATTAAATCCTTTTCTGACAGAGTAGTCATTAATTCATTTTCAAAGTTATAAATACTGTAATTATCGTAATCACCGACAAATTCCGACGATATTGGTGTTGAATATGTCGTTTCTTCTCCTATGGATGCGGTGGTTAGTGTATCAATGGTATATTTTGTTATATCTTCACCCGTATCATAAAATTCGTAATCATATACTTCCGAAGTTTCTTCAAATTCGTCATTTTCTTTAATCATACTTAAATTTCTTAATCTTTGTAACTCCTTTTCTAAACCTTTTCTAATACCATCAACGTCTTGTTTGTCAAGTGTATTTCTTTTACCCCGCCGTAGCGTCGTGGTTTTCAATAGGTTATTACTAGTCTTTACTGCGTACGGGTTTTGAGAGCTATACATAATTTCCCTCTCAGTACTATCCATATTTTGTAAATAATCTTTTGGGGGAAAAGTTGTCATATGGCAAGGTAAACAAGGAACATCTACTTCAAAACATGTTAATGTTGCAAAGTGTTTATCAATATCTATGGGCTCTTGGATATTAAAACTGGTATTATTACTTAATAAACTTGGCTGTAAAGATACCAATTCTTTACTCATGCCATTAATTTTACTAAACTGTGCAAAAATTAGCGAGTATAAATTCAATAAATTTAACAACATTATTCTGAAATAAGATAAAGATATTTGTGAGCTTGAAAGGCGTTTGAACCAATTTTAAAAGCATACCTTATATTGTTTTACCTAGCCAATTGTAATCTAAGTTGTTTTCTTGGATGAAAATGTTCTAGAAAGCCCAAGAATTCAAAGAAAAATGGGAACGTTATCGATATCACTGTAACTACAGTTGTCGTCTCATTTTCGTGCCACCAACTTGGTGTCTTACCACGGTAATTGTCAGAACGTGTGACCACAGTTACAACGGCATATGCCGATACTGCTAAAAGTATTAAGACGCAAAAGTTTACTAATGCTCTGAGACTTATAGTGCGCCAACTAAAAAAAGGTGAAAAAGGGTTATTAAAAGTTATAACAAAGAATATTAATAGTTAAATCACTTATTTTTTACTTACTTTCTAGGATTTTTTTTCTTTTCTGCCTCTTCTAGTAAAGCTTCTTTAAACCCCAAAATAACTGAAGCAATTCGGTTGTGTGCTGTCTCTGCATTTCCAATCATGTAGTCCCATCCAGTAAATAGTTTCCATGAGAATATACATTCGTCATCTTTCTCGGAAAGCTTGGACATGCGAGAGTTTTCAGCCATTCTGTTAAAACACAATTTATATAACTAGAAAATTATATGTAAGCTTAAATAACTTTAATCATCAAACATGTACTTGCTTTTGATCCTCAAACATACTTCGTATAAGAGTTGTAACTGCTAAAAATAAATGTTCTAAATATATCTTACTTCCTCAATATGGCGACGAAGCTATAAACGTAGACCACCAAGCCAGTTAGGAAATAAGCTAATGGCATTTTGTACTCTGATCGTTCAACGTTGCTATAATAACCATAAAATATAGGCGAATATTTAAGGATCCCTTCAAACTCCCATAGGGTTAGTAGATTTGTGGCGTTGCGTCGTTCATCCTCCATTATAATTTTTCTTTCGCCATCTAGTTTAGGGTTTGCAGTGAGGTACTAAAATAATAATTTTTATTTACATAGTTTTTTCAGTTAAAATAAAAAAAATGGATGTAATCCTGACTGAAGGACACTAACCCCATTTGTTGAAAGAAGTAATATGGGCTGAAACCTCCGGCAAAATATTATTAAAATAAGATTTAGCACTCCAACGGATACGATCAACCATAATGGCAGCAATAGGTTGAAGTGCTTAATCCCAAGAATTGTTAATGAGCTACTGGAGACGTTAAAAAACAGCTTTCTAAAGCATTAAATTTAAAAAAAATATATAATTTTATATAAATAAGTGGGGCATAAAAAGCGACTCCCAGTGGCTAACACGCATGGTGTTAAGTAAATATATTAAATAATTACAGAATTGTCTCAATACCTCAGGAACTATAACAAAAACTAGTAATATGAAAGCTATGACCAGATTAATCCAGAATAGCCATCTCAGAAATGTGAAATAAGATGCGACAACGGATCCAAAGTGTGATTCTATTTCTTTGATTCGTAATTCCCAAGGTATTAGTAGATTGGATATATTTGCAGCTTCTCGCTTCAACTGTTGCCATTTCTGAAATGGAAACTAAATTTAATATTTCTTGAGTACGAATTTATGGCATGAGAAATAAGTTTGTTGGTAATGTTTGTAGGAATTACTCTATCTTTTCGCTAACGTTCCGTAAGTAGTACTAAAGTACGTTACGTACGTACGTATACGTTTAGTGCAGCTATAAGTTATCTTAAGGTCAACTATGAAATCTTGATCCACGATATGTCGCTAACAATGAGGAATTGTATGCCTATTCATCGTATGACATGTAATATTTATTATACAATGTGTTATCTAACTTGAACAACTGTTGAAACTGTTTTAAATTACTTACTGTAGCCATAAGAATATTAAATCTTGCATATATGTCTCTTGTGCTTTTGGATTGAGCTAGTCTCTCCTGGAGTTTACCTTCGTGACGCTTAATATAACCTTTAGCCTGAAAATTTGTCATTCATATTTTTATTTTTAATAGTTCTACACTGAACATTCAGAGCGGGTTGGTTTAATTTTTTATGACTAAAAGCTTTAGGCTTATGTCAACGTATACCAATGTCTATAAAGGGGACCAATAATATTATGTTTCCACAACAAAACATGTAACAGAGAGAGAGTCAAAGCGGCAAGTACAGTCCAGAATTCCATCTACCTGGTGAACTATTTTAAGTTTTCGTCTCATACCCAGTGGTTGTTGCTTTGCCGAGCTTAAAACTTGTTTATGTAAATGTATATTTTCAAATATTTGTTCTTGTGTAAGTACGGGTTGATCTTCAATAGATATTGCTGTGCTGTGAAATAAAATTAATGTTTATTAATACCTCTATACGACACCTCGATTTTTTCATAGCAGTTCGGCGCTTACGTTACCAATGTTTAAAGAAAATTAAAATTAGATTAACTTTGACAAAATCTGCTAGAACAAAACTGCCTGAGAAATAGTTAAAATATTTTATGGATTCGGTAAAAAATATGCTTGATATGTACGTCGTATGTCGCGATTTATTTATTTCTTAAATGTTTTTCTCAGAACACCTAATCACTTTTCATATATATTATATGAAAAGTGATATATTATATATGTAATGAAGAACTTTCGGAGGGAAAGACAAACATACTCTCCAGAGCTTGTTGTAAACACAGAAGATCGTCTTCGCGGGTGAATGTCTTCTGGAAGAAAAGGTGACGATGGTCGTCTGGCGCGGCCTTTGCGCGATCGTCGTACACTGGCGCGTCGCTGCCGCAAAACCGCGCTTAAACTAACCGAATAGTCCTCATCTTCTGATGCATCTGAAAGTGTTATATTAGATATCCAAACCATTTGAAGTGACCTCCAAGATAGTTTATCACAAGGAATAATACCTTGGTTAAAAAAAAGCTATGTTAGTACGTTTAAATCAGTGTTCCCCAACCCTTTTTGTGTCATGACCACTTTAGCCGTTCTAAAATTCTTATGCCCTATGCCCTATATTAAACAATTTAATTGTTCACTTAAGAAACTTAAATGACAGATTTTAGGAAAACATTACTAGGAAACGAAACACGATAAGTATTTTTTTTTAAACATAATGAAAAACTGAAATTCAAATTCCAAATAATTTTAATAAATTTTCGAATCAAAAGGCCCCCATGTATGGCGTGGGCACTACGTTTTGAAACACTGGTGTATCTCAATTTTAACCAATTTGTTGACTAGGTGACAACTCGCATATACTTATATATATTCTTTTTCGGCACCTATTTAGGTACAATGTCCTGTAATCTATTTATACCTTAATAAATAAAAGAAGCAATTGATAAATGCTCTTATTTTGAAATATATTGGACACTTTATATTGAAAATTTACGGCTAATATTTTCAACGGCTTCATTTTTGATTTATAACAAGCAGAGGACATTCGCAGCAATTATTTTATATATCACTATTACAAGATTATATACATTTTTAATATTACCTGCATTAGTAGAAAATTTTACTTCACTACTAGTAACTCCTGGTGAAGCCATTTCGGGATTCGGATCTGCCCAAGTTACAGAGAGACGGTCAATGGACGGTTGTGGGGAGGACGGCGCACGGTCACAGGAACCCTATAGTAAATATTACGAGGTATTTTTTAAATCAACCGGTCACGACCTAAACAAAGCCTTTCCTGCTGCCATATTATATTACCACATGAAATGGCTCTACAGGTAATCAAAGCTGAAACGACACTCATGGTTCTGGGGAAGTCACGAGATTTCTAAATAAATTTGTATAATTACTATTCACAAACGTAAGGTACTATTAAAAACATACTTAATAGATGTTTCAAATAGCAGCATCAACATAACCCAAACATGATTTTTTATGAAAATAACGAAAACTATAATTTATAATTAAATAATCCCCTGTAAGTACATTAACATTATTCATAATTCATTTAACAATGACGGATATCACTCCACTGTTACACTACGGCAATTAATTCAATAACCACAACTAAACGTGAACATTTGAATAATTTAATACGAAAATGTAACAGTTGATTTGATTTATATCAAAAGATATATGAATCCGTTAGTTTTTAAGGGTTTCTATTAGTATTAATAAAAAATATTTCCGTACACCGCTTTAGTTAGACTCAGGTGTAGCAGGCAACATCACAATCGGACGCCGACAGAAATACTGTGGCAATTTAGAATCGAGGGAAAAAGCTGCCTTCGTTAATGAGAACAATAAATTAAACGATTTATAGCCCTATTACGTGGTTTGCATAGGTCTTTTGATTCCGATAGTAATACTACCTACCTGAATTTATAATAAGGGGATGGTGTCTTGAAGCTTTCGGTTGAACTTTTCAGGACCTGGACATTTTTTTTGTGGAAGGACGTTGACGTGTCAATCCTTATCAATTATTTATTTGATGGAATTCGAATCCATGTTTGTTATGTTTAGGACTTAGTGTTAATGTACGTCTTAGATTTTCCAGCTAAGCAATGATTGATTGAGGTTCAAAGAAACAGAATCCGCATCATCTACTAGTCTTAACATAATAAAATAGATGATAAAAGGGTTCTGGATAAAAGGACAGGTGCCTCTTTCTACTCGTTGAGTCAAATTTTACCTAAAATATGTTTAATAAAATTATACTAAGATTGCCTTATTTTCTAATAGTATGGTCATTTAATCAGAATTAGATTCCACACCCATAGCATATCGTGACAAGACACCGTCACTCAGGTCCGAAGCGTCAATGAATACCAGCCAATTATTGACTCTGATTAATTATTCCAAATAAGGATGTCACCATAAAGTTTCCTGACATTGAACTATTTGTGGAAAGCTTTCATTTGGAGATCAGGCGTTGAAAACAGCTGGGGGTTTAAGGTTTTTTAAACTCAGTTTATTTTAAAAAAAAAACAGAGTCTTTACTAGACTACAATTTAAAGATCTTGCGAGGCGGAACCTCGAGAGTCAGCCCTGAGCTTTCATTTCATTAAAGATACCTTCATCACAAACGGCACCATTACACGAAGTGATTTTTCTACAAAAGCCTTGGGCCATATCATATCGTATTCATATCTAATTAAAACATATTACTATTTTTGTTTATATGATTATACATCAACATTTGCAAAGCGCGCGTCACGTGATGTCCTTAATTAAAAGAAATTCAATAAATAAACTCTTCATTGCGATAAGTGTCTGTGTCAACTTCTGACATGTTTGCTGCATAAACAAGATACTCATAGTACACAAACAATGTTAAGTAGATTAAACGCAGCTGATGCTAGCATGACATAATACACCATTATCGTCAACAAGTTAAGGTAGTTATGATAAAAATTGTTATAAATTTTTAAAATGGAACTGGTATTTCCATTGATACAAAACCAAAACGCACACTATTACTCAAATATTTAAAGTTCACTCAAAGACCCCAATCCTTCTTCGGACTTTAAAATACTAATTACCTTGAAGGATTGTTATGAAAAACAAATTTTGTAACAATTAAAAATTTATGTAGAACTATTATGTTTATAGAACATTCGTTAATTGAGGTTTGCTGTTCGCGAGGCCGTGCCCCGATTTACCTTGTAATTACGTATACTATTACAACCCGCTTTATTACACCCTGCCTGTAAATTAGTTTTCTTTTAACGCATCATATATTGAATAGTTTTAAATAATACGTACTTTTTATTCTTTATTTTAGAAGACATATTTTCACAACTAAAATTATAAGTTATGAAATTCCGTTTTTGGTAACAATCATATTAAAAAAATCTCTAAATTTCTAAATAGGTTTTATTTGAAACTCTGTTTTTTTTTCATGTTTACTAAGAAAGTAATAGGACACAGTACCGTTATTTATTTGAGTATTTTAGTTATCACAATCTTTCATAGATCTTATGTTTACTTTGGATTTAAAGTTATCTTTCTTGTATAATTCCTGTAAACAAGCAAAACTTTGTCTTTAGCATGGTATTTGTGTGTAACACGCTTATTATATGTATGTCATTGCTTTCTCGACCGTTTTTCTAGATTTGTTTACACTTTAAAAGCGTCCGTACTTTCAAAACTTATACGCTACTGGCAACTATGACTTAGGCATTGAATACACTCAAAATATATAATTTATTGTCCAGACCAGACATTAATATGTTGTCCTTTCATATTTGACAGCCCGTGTAAATCCTCTCGCATCTATATTTAAATAATAAATCCCTTAGAACTGATTAGGTCTGTACATTTTAAAATCACAATGGGACTCTATTTCAAAATAAATTTATACATACGCAAGCAGATACAGAAAGTTACCTGTGGTATCAGAATTGATGTAGGTTCGATCATGATTCTTGGTCGTGGTTCCAGCTTTAAGATTCCTTTTTCTTTAGCCTAAAAAAAAAAATATTTAGTGTACATTAATAAAATGTTATAAAAAATTCCCGGGAATAAAATCACGAGGGTTGGAGCCAAGGGGCCAATAATGGGTCATTCTATACCTACCTGTTTCTAGGCAAAGAAATAAGACTAGACCTTCTCTCTCTATTATGCAAATTATAGGTGAATTGAAATAATAAAGACAACCTCGAATGAAAATAAAGAGTACTCTTCTTTTAAGCTCTCAAACTTCTATTATTAATATATATATATATACTTTTAATCAAATGCCTAATAATGTATCTATATTATCATACAACGTACAATATAAAGTGGGTTTATTTTAGAAGCTGTTAGCATGCTGTTAGCATGAAACTATTTGTTAGTGAACTTTTACTAAGGTTTAAACATTATCCGTTAAAGAACAAATCTGAGTTCCCGCGCTAGAAGGATCTCCCAAACCACGACCACACCTTTACACAACCAAGTGACCAGACAAATTTATATCTGTGTATAATCATGTAAGGGCAGACACAAATCCGCGTTGGTGACTCGCATTCTGTTTCAGGACATATCAATTTTGCTTCGCTAGATCGAATCCAGAGTGTTTAATCGTTGAGTTAAAGATAAAGATGAAGTAGAGAGGGGTTATTGTTAAAAGTTTTAAAAATATACCTTTAAATATCATTATAAATGGTATGGACCAGATTTATAATTGGTACTATTTATACAAAGACTGCTGTCACGTTTGTAAAATAGTGTGCATTCTACGTGCATAGCAGGACGTTGACGTGTATATATTGTCCATGTTATTATGTGGTGCAGTCCGTCTACGGTTAAGGCTTTAAAAACCATCGACAAAGCAAACTATGGGTGCGCGATTCTCATTTGATTATCCTCTTTGGCCCGATTTCTTTTAAAAACATTAAGCGAGAACACATGTCTTTACCTTTGTATCCATGATGGCTGCCAACCACCATCAGGTGCAGTGGGCAACTGGTCATACCCCGTTGTCAACTATGGCGTGTCCAGACGCTCCATTGGGAAAACCTCGCAACTACATTTATCTTAATCTAACATCAAATATATGAAAACCGCTTATTAGTGTTTTAATTTTATTATAAATTCCGTGAGTATAAGGGTACTTTGTATATGAGTCGGCAGAATAGGGATGACTAAAAAAAACACAAATTTGTATACTAGTTTTTAACTCATTTAATTTACATGTTATACGAGTATATCATTTGTAAGTTAAGAAAGTTGTAAATACTGTATATTAATTGTTGTATAAAGACATTTTATTGCATTTAGTTATTTCAGATTAGGACTTACTTGACTATGTCTTATGACCCCTAGATGCGGCAGAGGGCGGCCGAAGTGAGTCACCATCGCTTTCGGACTCGAGTTTCGCATTTCACCTCGCTCCTAGTGTTTCCGGCTCTCTTTGCCTCATCTACACCTGTACGTCGCCAGGGTTGCTTGGAACTGCCACGCTATTGCTATCCCTGTGGGTTCCAATCAAGCGCCTGCTTAAAGTTGAATGGAAGGTCGGAGTGTATGACCTATCCAGTTCCACGTGTCGTTCGGGCTTTCCCAGCAGCACTCCAGGAGTTGTTGGTTAGAGTTCTGCGTTGCGAAGACAGCGGTTTAGAAAGACTTGGAGCAAGTAAGTGCAACTTTTTATAACATCTGTTGATCTTTGAATAGTTTATTACTATTATAATAAAAATTTAATTAATGCCGATAAATATTAGATATCATGTTTTTCCCGAAAGGTCGTTCTAATTAGTGAGAAAAGCAACGCAGGGTGAGCTGTTAAAAGGGGTGAATGACGCAGGTAATCTACACCTGACACATATATAGTAGACACCTTTAGCTACATCAAACAAATCAAATGAAAAGGTATTTGATACATAGTCATTATAACTAAATGATTTACGAACAATACAAGAAAATTATCGTTTTAAATGGTACTTCAAGGATTTAAATAATTTTTTTTGAAAGATTTTATGTTATTTAATTGTTTATATAAGTGTGGAACGAGCAACACATTGTTCTTTGTTATTATCGATGCCAGTATTTGATTTGCGTTGCGAAAACTTGAACATTATGTATATTTCGAGTGACGTTTTCAATGCCTTAACAACATATTCTTATTATTGGTAGATTAGTTCGTCTGGTGGATAAGAAAAATATTCTATAGCTTGTACCTTAATACTATAAACTTTTTTTATATGATCTACAGTAACATAGTAGTATATATACGTACAGTAATAATAAATATATAGTCCCATAACCCCCCAAAAGAAAACGGAGCCAAAACCTTTCGGGGTCTGTTTTGTTGATATAAATTATTTTGACATATGTCAGCATAAATCTGACATGTCTTAATTTTTAGGGTCTAAGGCACGCCATCTTCGTCACCTCAAACTAGTTTTGGCAAAGTGAATCGCTGTAGAAACAAAATCTTCATATTTTTTTATATCTTCATTTTGTCCAAAACTTTTTTATCTCCACATGCGAAACTGGAGCTCTGAATTTGTAAAGTTTTAAATTTATGACTTCACGATATTTTTATAGGAGAAGGAGCAAAGGGTCAGAAATAAAGTGTTATACCTATTTATGCATATACCCTAGGTACGGTCTTTTATTTAAAAGGTTTCTACAATTGTGTTTCGAATATTGATTCCAGGAACTTATTGAAGGATATATGTTCCTAATACAGGATGTATGGAGAAATGAGATATGTATATCCTATAAGCTGGTTGCGGTACTTAAAATAACGAATAATACAGAAAATACATTGAAAATCTAGTGTAATAAAGACAATAATACCATTTATATTGATACTAACCGTTTATAAAAGTTTATGTGACACAATATACCAGATTATAGCATCTGTAGTTCAGCTAAAGGTTTCTTGACCTCTGTTATCTCAGTTAACGCTCAGGCATTTTTATTACAAAACGAGGCGTTGATGCTTCCGTGTTTCTAAAATTAGGTTCAACGATATCGTTGATGAAGCTTGAATTTGCGACTACTCGTAATTTGTACGGTAATGTCCCGTAATTTGCCGAGGCTCGGATAATTACTGCGTCTGTTTTATTTATTGTTTTTGAGGAGACAGCCCGAAATAATTATTATTTCATCGGAAATGTTTAGTTACCTACTAATGACATTGTTATTCGTATTCTATTACACAGATTTTTGAAACGTTACGGGGATGGTTCAATAACGACACTAGGTCCATTATCACTGGGTTTGGCGATAACAAAGGGTAACCTGATGAGCTGTGTCTTGATTATCTCGATCAAGTACAGGTACAAAGACTTTTTAATGTTTAATTTGCTTTAGTAAATTATTTTGATAGAGATCATTATGATCCAATATTTTTCGAACAGCTAAATATGCATTTCATTACAATTTTAAGTAATGCCGTAAGTCCTGCCCTAGAGTATTATTTATTCAGAAAACAAAATTTAGTCAACGGAATCCTTTACAGTATGATCAGCATACAGGAGTTAAATCGTAGCCGAAACCGAATACATATGTGATATTATTAAACGTAAAATTATTAATACTTATTATTAATAATAAGTTGTTATTATTAGTAGAACTGAAATATTTAACGATTGTGTTATCATCTAGAGAACTCGCTATACCTATACATTGCCGCGAAACTAATTCGGGCCTCTTTTGCGATAAAGGGTTTTAAACAGTGCCACCGATATTTTTTACTATCTAACTTATGTTCTAAAGATTGGCAATAAGTCTATAATATTTTTGCCATACCGCCATGTGACTGTGTTCGTGTTGATACCAGATTTAGCATAGAAACTCCAGGCTTCAGGAAACTAGTTGAGATTTTTTTTTGAATACAGTATAATATGTTCTTTGCTCTCCGGTACTGTTCAAAGGCATTCTGAGTATTTCTGAGTAGCAGAGAGGATATCTTGACTGAGACGAAACCCATATGACCTTGGCACCTTCCGAGGATTTATAATACACATAGTTGTTACCCAGATGTTTAAAACAATTTGGTCCGCCAAAATTTAACAATGAGAATCGTCTTCTAAAAATGCAGATTGTATCAACAGATGCTTAACACATGTACGAAATAATTGACCACATACAAAATAGCTCAAAATATAATAAGACTATATTCTTGTATAATAAATAAAGTCTTGTAAACTGGGTTAACTATTTATAATAAAGGAAGAGATAACACAATATGCTGGCATCCTTCACTGATTGTAATTATTAGCTACATTTTAATAATTTTTATGTTTGTATAAAAATATTTGCAATTAATAATCCTGTAAAGGTTATCTAACTTTCTGTTGAAAAAAGTTACAATAAGTAGGTATGAGTATTTGTTGTATATTTGACTGCCGGTCTATTGCTAAGGTTCAGATTCAGAAACGGGATTTTACGATAAGCCTGGCTCCCGTACTCATATCATATACCGTATCCATAAATTTATTGTTTTTTTTGTATAACAGTGGTAAACGGGCAGGAGACTCACCTGATGTTAAGTGCCTCTCAATGCCAGTGGGTTCGGGGGTCGCGAGTGCGTTGCCGGCCTTTTAAGAATTGGTACGCTATTTTCTTGAAGGACCCTAAGTCGATTTAGTTAGGAACTTACGGACATTTGACATACGGAAGTCAAAGTTCGCGCTAAGTCTCGTTTCTGAATCTCACCTTTAATTCACATAGAAACAACTCTACAGGCGTTCAAAACAAGTGCGTGGAATATGATTTTCATAGAATCTCTTAACAAACGTTATTAGCCTGAGAGATTCGAATATGTACTTTAAAATAGTTTTATTGTTAAACTAAAAACAATATAATAAGTAATTAAAATAAGGTATGGTGAATACGCTATGCAGATGTGTTTCACCAGTTTTAGGTCACGTGCAAAAAATATTAGCCAAACCTGACGCATGATTTTCATATAGAACAATGTATGGAGCAGTCTTTTCTCTTTTCATATACCTTCTTGTTTATATGCAAATAGTTTATCAGCCCGCCTCTTGCTTATTGTTTCACCGACCGGAATCGAACGTACATGTTACGCTCTCCGGGCATCACGCCGTGGAGCAGATATTTAATCCGCAACGAAAAAGATATTTCCGCATTTGTTACACAAATATTTTTCTTAGTAAGCAAATAAATAAGTGGGGGGCCTCATAGCCTAGCGGTCTTATTAAGTGGCAGCTAGGTGAGGCCGGGTTCGATTCCCGGTTCGAGGGCAAGTTTTAATTTAATTTAAAATTGTTCTCGGCCTTTGGGAGGGTTGTGCGGTACCGGGCGAGTGGAGGACACGGTCGAATTTCTAAAGACAAGCACGAATTATAAAAAATCCTATACTTGACGCTGGCTAATGCACAAATCGTGCCAGAGCCATTAAAAAAAAAATACGTGTTCAGTGTGCTTGCTAGTCTATGACTTATTTAACATAATATTATTATTTTCCAGGAGTTTCGAACTAAGGATCTTTGCGATAGAGACGATAAGAAATATAAAATTCTTAAAAAATCCTTTTCGGTATTGCGCGTTCAAAATTCCTGTTTTATATTTTTCTTTATAACCATATCTCTTTCACATTTTAAATGTTTAACATTAAAGAGCCATGCAGATATATGATTAGACGACATTGTTCTTCAAATGACCGCACATGGTGGCATTCTGACGGAAAACAAAAGCTTGGGCCTTTTCAGGTTCGTTCACAAAAAACGGTCGCTGAGGCCGCCGCGCTTAGAAATGCGTTCCGTCAACGACACAAAGATTATAAAAGCGTCTGGCAGGTAAATGCATTTAAATTACAGTTTAAAACATTATTAATATTTTTTTTACGAATTTAGTTAATTGAGTTAGAAATCAATTTGGGAAGCAATATCTTAAGTGGTGACGTGTGGTCGAGAGTGCATTTTAATTTAAAAGTAAATCGTTCTCAGTAAGGGAGTTTACAATTCTATAGGTATGTTAATTTTTTATTAAATTATATTAACCAAATAATAATATTCGTGCACTGCTGGAAATTGTTGCTCTCACCGTTTACTGAACAGTAAATAAAATAAAGTTGTATTAGTCTTGCAATCCACACGTTTCATAGAAGAATAGTAACTTGTTTGTTAGCTTGATTATCTTTTTAACGTGTTTTATATTAAATAACTTGAGTTAACAATTACCTGAGTATACTTTGTCTAATCTCGCCCTGAGTATTTGTGATTAGTTTTATAGAGCCAGAAGTTTGCATTAGTTCTGCCGTAAATTGTTTTAGTCTCTGTGAGGCCGGAGCCTGTTCGGCAGATTGTTCTCAATTCATCTATGACGTAGTGTTGTGAAACAAGATGAGCGTCAGTGCTCGTTCGGGCAGCACGCGCGTCGACGCGAGCTCCACGCGCTTTAACAAAATGGCGTGGACTTTTATTTATATACACTTTCTAACGTTTGTAGCTATAGCATCGGCGCAGGATTACTACCACACACCCAGGATAGGATCGCAGAAGCTTGCTTCTTGCTATAACAATGACGGGCAGCCGCAAGTGAGTGAAACCCTTTTATTAAAGTGGAGCTTTTAAAACTTTATCGTTCGTGTTCTTTTGGTATAACTAGTATAGTTATATGAATTTATACTATGTCGCCCGTGACTCATAAGAAAGTTTACATCTTATATTTACCGATATATTTCACAGGCAGGTAATTTGTATTGAGCGTATCGTGATAATTGCAAAATTAACAAATTGTCTGACACCAATACGAGTTCTGTGTACTTTGTTTTACGAATAATGCAGGGAGAGACCTGCTATGATAAATGATTACGTTGTAATATTTATAAGATTATATACTTTTAATATTTTATACGATGAAAGAGTATTAAAAGGTTCCTATGTTTTTCATAGATAGAAAATTAGTATTTACTTAAGTTACTTTCTCCGCACTCTTCTCACTAGTATTTGTATAATAGAGCTCCGTTTCCGTAAGATTAAAAATTTATGAATGAAATCTACCTATGAAATGTATCCCTTTGATATAGGCAAAATTAATTTTATGTCTTTACATTATTTCGTTAACAAAAGCGATTCGTTAGATTACATCTTAGGGTTATCATAGTGGGTCCAAATTAAACATCGTAAGTCCATTGATACTTATAATGAGTTCGTTTACTCTGGTGGCCTAATGTCTTGTTATCGGGGGCCAGCGGAACCCGCTTATCATCGCATCCGTTAACACATCACAATTCGTATCAAATTTAACTTAAATAAGAACGTTAATGAATCAAAATTTAAGACTATCATCGCATGTACAGTTGCGACACACTTATCTCGTGAGCTTACAAGTATCCGCTCAAGTGATTTCCACACATACCGTGTACTCTACTAGTCACTTATAGTTATAATATTATATGTATTAAATTTAACTGTCTTCGCTGTTCATAACAATTCTTAAACGACTTCAATGAACCGAAGATAGAGGTATCAATTAGGTATTTTTTTTTATTTTTCTTGAAAATGTTTTTCTTACCGTGTGATCTTATGCTAAATCAGTATTTGCTATTTAGTCAACACTGTTTGATGCACATATATATATATATATATATATATATATATATAATATCACTTTTTTTTAATACTTGCTTGCCACGTGGTTTTATACAGGGATAAATTATTAACTTCCTATGCAATCCATTTCTTAATAGTAAGTAGTAATTATTATTAATTATAAACCAAATGTATTATTTAAAAAAAAGAATTGTACATACCTATAGCTAAACGCATATGTGCAATAAATTTATCGTTTATTTATAATTATTTAACTTTTTCAAGTTCATCATTAGAAAACATATTTCTGTAGTAAAGATTGAATTTTCTAATTATTTAATTGACATATTTTCTGAATAAATAAATGGGACAAATAATATACCTAATAACAAACTCCTGTGTGCCCTATTAACGGCAAAACCGCCAAGCTACGATGATGTGAATGTCCTGACTCCTGCGGCATGCTATTTATAGTAGAACTATTTTGGCGGCAAAACTACTTACCACCTAGACGGGAAACGTAAACCTGTTTCCGTATTGTCAATCTATTAGAAATATCCTGGTAAGTGTTAGGCATTGTAATACTTTAAGAAGGTAAAACTTGCTGAGTTTCTTGCCCGTTCTTCTCAGAACAAGGCCTCCTGGTAGTTCTGCGAACGAATGGTGTAGTTTTGCTCTTTCGCAAATATTGTAAACGTTTTTGACATTCATAAGCATGCCCTAAGACGCATCTAAACTGAATAAACGTATTTTGATTTGATTGATTGATTGAAGAAATCGAATCTGATAACTAACTTGCCTGGTGATAAAATCTATGAAAGGATTCAGAATGTGTCAAAAATTGTAGAACAACACTCCTGCTTTTGTGCTTTAGTTAGTTTGTCGTCTTTATTTTGAATACGGAATTTTTAAGGGGTGGGTGAAAGTTACAGAAGTTTTATATATTTTAGTTATTTAAATATGTTTTTATAGGATACTACTATCAAGGCTTACTACCACATAGGTTATAACTTGAATTTCGCATTCGTTCTCGTCTAACATGAGCGTTACCATATTTATCTTACAAAAAATATTGTTACTACATTTGAAAAATATTCCTTTCTGTCTATGTAAAACCAATTATCTTTTTAATCGACTTCAAAATCCCGAATGGCGTAGATAACGTCCCAAGGACTTGTAACTTGTCTATAGGTAATTGAAACGAAACTAAGCTCATCTTATGTTATCCAGAGATGTATTCCGGAGTTCGAGAATGCTGCGTTCATGGTACAGATGGAAGCGACAAATACATGCGGTGATAATGGTGTGAAGATGTACTGTATTCAGACTTCAGCTGGAACTTCATCAAGGTAACGAACATTTATGAATATTATACTATTGCAATGTGAGATATTTCGTAGAAAACGTGACTCAATGCAGTAAAGACTTCTCCAGTGAGTTTAATAGGACACAGCTAATAAATAATTTTATGTCACAAACAGGTCAAAGCGCAGAAACCTGTGTAATGCTCATTCTCACTTATATAAAGTTATGATTACATGTAACAAATATTTCAGTTAATTATATATGTACCGAAATTGTAATGTAATATAAACTAGAATAATACTATAATAAATGGACTAGGCAGATGTAATTCATGTACATAGAACAAAATTTGTTTTACATTCCGTAAATTGCGCGACTATTGAAAACACATGTAAAGTTCATCGTATATTAATCCATTCTAGCGTTTGATTTTACCTTTTGAAGTTGTTATTTGGGAAGATTATAAGGAAGATAATAAAGAATGTACTTACTAATCGAGTAATACGATCGATAAGACGAGATCAGCATAAGTATTCAATATCATACAACAATCGTTGCACTATATATTTAGTATTTATTTTACAGATTACATAAATTATTAGGGACGCAATTCACCAGGAAACCATAGTAAAAAATGTGTGCAAGAAATCCATAATTATATTAACAAAAATGATATTACGAGCAACAATAAAATCTTAAATAAAAAAAACACTAAAAGCTAATCTTAAGGTTCGACACAATACAAAATGCAATAAGAAAATACACGAATTACAAGTCACAATTGAGCTGGATATGATATTGTTGTGTAATTTAGAAGACTTTTAAAATACGTTGCGGAGGGTATACAATATTTATTAATTTAATAATAATAAATTATATTAATGTGTTTAAATATTACAGGTCCTGTGATTACTGTCAATCCAACCAGTTTTCAAGCTATTACCTCACCGATCTCCATTACGAGCAAGATAATCAGACATGGTGGCAATCAGAAACTATGAAAGAAGGCATTCAGTACCCAAATCAAGTCAATCTGACTCTGCATTTAGGTGAGCAAAATATTAATATTAGTTTATTTAAAACCTTAAACGATTGAAACCCCCGTGATTGGTAATACATAAGTTCCAACAGTATTTTTGCGTATAAAATATTTTAAATTATCTAAATACACCAATATTGTAAAGGGCACAATATTGTAGCATAATTAATAAATTTGTTTATCTGATTCCAAGTGAAAAATAAATAAAAACTCACAATAAATTATATATTTCCGTGAATTTGCGGTTTGCGCACGTAATTTCCGGCAAAACAATAATTATTTCGGGTTGCCAGGCACTTAATGATCTACTAATTTAACCATAGGAAATTAATATCTGCCGCGTGCTCCATTGGGTTTTGGGACTTCAAAAATACTGATTTAACTAAACTAAATTTAATTTTATATTCACAGGAAAGGCATACGATATCACATATGTTAGAATTGTATTCTATTCGCCCCGGCCTCAAAGTTTTGCAATATACAAAAAGCTAAGTGAGGACTCTGATTGGGAACCATATCAGTACTTCAGGTAAATTAATTAAATTAGTAGTATATGTTATACGAGTATGTGCTTAGTAATCTAATTATAATTAGAGATACTAATCTCCTTTATTATATATTGGTACTAAACCAATAATATAGCGCTTGATTGTTTACAAATCAGTATCAATAATCAGTGCCAGAATTTACATGAATAAATATGGATATTTTTAGTGCGTCATGCCGTGACACATATGGTGTTTTGGAACAACGTGCCGCGGAAATGGGAGCCGAAACAAGAGCGCTTTGTACCAGCGAATATTCCGATATATCACCGCTGTCGGGTGGTAATGTTCTGTTCTCCACACTCGAGGGTAGACCCTCAGCCTACACATTTGATAGTAGTCCAGAATTACAGGTAAGGGTTTATAGAATAAGCAATATAATAAATAAATATTAGCATTAATATTTGCTTAATTTTGCTTTGATAAAAATATAACGATATTTTTATAACGTATTGTAAGCTAATTACAGACAAGGAACTTTTCTTTATTTTCAAAGAGATATAGGAGTGAAGACCGAACATTAAATAATATAAAATGCTAATACGTTTATGAATAAAGAATGTGGTATTTTTAGAATAGCCACTTACAAAGCCTTTGATTTAAACGACTGTGTAAGTTGCAATTTCTCTTGTGTTTTTCCAAATGTTAAAAAATTCAAGTTAATAGGCCTATACTTAAAGATGTTTTAAAATAAAACAAATTCTACAGAAAACTATTTGTATGTACTTAATTTTAGGAATGGGTAACGGCGACAGATTTGCGCATTTCATTGGACCGCTTGAACACATTTGGAGATGAAATATTCGGTGACACTCAAGTATTACAATCGTATTGGTACGCCATTGCCGATGTAGCGGTCGGAGCCCGTTGCAAATGTAACGGCCACGCCTCGGTATGCGACACCCATGAGCTCCCAGATGGAAGTCGGGCGAGATATTGCAGGTAAAGTCATTCACATAATTAAATGCCCTTAAACTGAATGAAGTTCATATTATTCAGCAGATGTTTATTATTATGCTCTGGTTGGGAAAGAACAGAGGACTTGGTAAAATAATTTCAGGAATGGGTAAACGTGATAAAAGAAGCGATTATGCCTCGCTCAGTTTCACACATCACCAACCATACCTTACTCATATATCGGTACTTATGTGTCCTAATTTAAGAATGGAAAATGCTAAAATATTGCAAATTTGTTTTCAAAAAAACCCGATTGATCTTTAAATAATAGTTACACAGTTATTTTTTATACTTATTCACAATTTCGAAATTAGGTATTAGGTAATTAGTAGATTAGGTATAAATGCGCTGTACTAATATTAATATTTTTTTTATTCTTCTACAGATGTGAGCACAATACAGCTGGGCGAGAGTGTGAAAAATGTTTAGATTTCTACAATGATGCACCTTGGGGTCGCGCTTCGCCCACAAACGTTCACGAGTGTCAAGGTTTGTACTTTTTTCCATTTTTGCTTTCTGAGCTATACGTATTTTTAAATTCTCACTGCTAGTAAATTTTTTATGAACTTCGTCTAGCTTGGCCACATTAATTAAAGACTATAAAAAATATGCGATGTTTTGCAAAAGCGACTGTTATTACTTCCGGAATCATAAAGTATTCAGTTATATTCTGTTTCCGAGGTTTCATATAACGCATTATTTAAACTAATTAAATACTTGGGTAATTATTGTCTATTTCGATGTTGGTTTCGTCTTTAGAGATCAACTCAGATTGAGTAATGTTTCATCACTATCCACGTACAATCCTAATTGTCTAACATTTTGCAAACAAAATATGTTATTACTACTAGAGCTATTTTGATGCGAAGGTGTTGGCAGAAGTGCATAAGCGAATTTATTAATATATGTTAATATTGTAAGTATTAATCAATTGTATAAATAGAAGCGAAAGAGTACCCTATCCAACTCCAAATATTGATAATTCACAAAAACTAGCAACATTGTTTCATTATTTTCCCCCCAATGGCGTCTGTTTAAGTTTGTTTTATGGTGTATTTAACAATGCTTCAGTTTTATTTTCAATCTTTTCAGTTGTATCCGTCGGGTTATGCATAATTTTATATCTGTCGCGGCTTTCAACAAAAAATGTCTGACAAAGCATTTAGATTTTATAATTAAATCAACACATCGTTATATAAACTTTGCGAATGTATAAAATGCGATATTGTTGAAAGTACATCATAACCTTTTTCTATGATTATTTTGCAGCGTGCAATTGTAACGGATTTTCGAACAAGTGTTACTTCGACAAGGATTTGTATGAGCGAACTGGGCATGGTGGGCACTGTATGGATTGTGCTGAGAACAGGGATGGTGCAAATTGTGAACGTTGTAAGGAGAACTTCTTCCAAGGCACTGAGGATATCTGCATGCCCTGTAATTGTAACCCTACAGGTGTGTTCATATTGACTTCAATTTCAAGTTAGATTATTGGATAACCGTGTTCCGGCTGGCCACAAATGGATTTTGAATTCATAATTTGTATTTGCGGCGTAGGAAATAATTGTTAGAAAATCAACGTGCTCAATCGACTAAATGTGTCAGTCACAAATTACTGATCTTATCCACGTTTCTCATGTCGATACCAACTATCAAACACCTCATTTGTGTATGGCGCAGGCCGGAACTACAACGGCTACTATTTAACCCTCAACTTGTTTAAGCTATTTTATTATTTATTATGCATATTCCATGCATAATAAATATCCTGCATCAGGGGCACACCCCAAAGACACACCCTCATGTACACATTCACACCATCACACATCACAGTCAAATTAGGTATTAATTAGTTAAGTGTATTTAATAAATTTTATTGATTTTATCCTTATACAAATGTTTGAAACCTTTTGTGTACATTATGTATTACATCTTTTGATATATCTTTAGTATAATTTTTTTTTGTTATATATAATTTATGTTAGCAGTAGGATTACGAAATAAATAAATAAAAAGCCAGATAATACATACAAATACCATAGGTCCAAATAAGTCACAACGCTACGGAATCTAAGTCGTAGAAACTATGAATTATAGCTTTATTATCACTCTAAACATACTGTAACGCTTATTCTGTAACCGAATATACACACACATAGATATGTGGGTTAATAACAGATAAATTTATAAGCGAACAACAATGGGGCGGCGGCGCTAATCTGAGAGGATTAATTTGGTTGCTACATCATTCTGTTCAATCGTCTAGATGGGTCCACAGACAGCATTATAAAATGTGAACACTGATAATAAAAAGCAATAAAATTTTATAGGTTTTTGAAGTCGGTTAAAAATTGTCATTTGTTTTATTTTTTTAATCACGTTGGAAATCATTTGATATACAATTTACTAAAATACTAAAAATACGTCAATTTGTTACTACATATGTTTTATAAATAAATAAATAAAATTATTTTAGGATCTCGCAGCTTGCAATGTAATGCTCAAGGCAAGTGTCAATGCAAGCCCGGAGTGACTGGAGAAAAGTGCGACATGTGCGCACCAAATCACTACGACTTCACGAATCAAGGATGCAAGCCGTGTGGCTGCAATGAATCTGGCAGTTACAGCAACATGCCGCAATGTGACCCAATTACCGGCATTTGTCTGTGCAAAGAAAATGTCGAAGGCAAGCAATGTCGAGAGTAAGTTTTTTTTACGAATATTTCATTGGTTAATTAGAGCTAGACTGTATCTTTGAAATTACATTTAATCTCATATTAAGCTGTAACAATATACAAGTTGACAAAATCTGTAGTGTTATCTTAAACTTCTACAAGGTTCAAAACGAAGATTCACAAATTATTTTTAAAAATAGTGAATCGCTCGAGAAATCTATGAGCAGTCTTCGGTACCACAGTTTCCTGTTAGAGGAATGGTAACCATGGTAACAAATAAGTTGTCGAAGAGTATAATATTAAGTATAAGTTATTAGAAATTGAGTGTTCAAAGTGGTTTTTTTTTGTTCCAGATGTAAACCTGGTTATTTTAATTTGGATCTCAATAATGAATTTGGGTGTACGCCGTGCTTCTGTTTCGGACATTCCTCGCAGTGTAGTTCGGCACCCAAATACCAAGCGCACGAGCTTAGCGCTCATTTCATTCGGGATGCCGAAAAATGGTCTGCAGAAACAAGTGACAGGAAATCAACCCAACTTCAATTTAATGCTAATACACAAAATATAGGTAACTATAGCTTATGCTCTTCCGAAAACTATATCCTTGAAATCTCATAACTCCTCCTTACTTGGCGAATTCTTTAAGGTCTCTGCAGTTAGGCTATGGAATTCACTTCCCGTCCCTAATCGCTTAGCTCCTTCCCTATCTTCCTTTAAATTTCTTCAGTACAAATATTACCTGTCCACATTGTATCCCTAACTTTCGTACAAACTACTAACTGGCGTGAGACTGATCTTAAATTATCGTGATTCATGTGCACTTTTTATTTTTCATGTATCCTTTATTAGTTTAGTTTGTTATTTGTTCCTGATCAGTCTTTTTGCTTAATAACTGTATGTAATACAGTGAAACCTGGTTAAGTGAGACATCAAGGGACCTGCAATGTCGTTTCACTTATAGAGGTATTCCACTTACCCAGTGTCTCAGATATACAGGTATAAATAAATATCTGTCTCATTTACAGAGGTTTTTGTTACGAAGTTGCTTGACCCATGTTAGCAAACACTGTTCACGTTCAGGATATTCTGATAAACGTACACGTTTTAGTTTTCCTTGTCCTTCAGAACATTGTGATTCAATTTTATGCTTACTCTGAATTATTCTATAAAGAGTAGATTTTGGCACATTAAATTCGGCACAAACTTCTTCGCGTGTCTTCCCACTTTCATAAACGGATATTAACTTCAGTTTTTCACGTAATGATAACGATTGTAGCTTTAGTTTTGGCATTTTTCAAATAAACATCTGTATGATAGTAAAGCGAAACTAAAACTGAAGGTAACTGAATCTCAAAATCACTTACGTACTTGGAATTACGTGTGGAATTTATGGGTAGAATAAGAATGAGGAAACAAACAATGTTATCTCAGTTACAGAGGTTTATGCATATAAAATTTACTCGCTGTCTCAGTTATAGAGGTAACTATGATGATAAATCGAAAGAACAAATCCCAGATATAGAGGCTTACCTCGTCCCACTAACAAAGGTAATTCAGTGCCAAAGTGTTGGGACCTCAGCATGAGTTCCAGTTATGGAGGTTTCTTACTTATCCAGGTCCCACTTAACCAAGTTTCACTGTATGTATTTTTGCACTTCTAGCCTACCTTATCAAATTTAATACATTTTTGAAGTTATACTTCTTCAGGCGCGTTATGAAAAATTTATGAGAGTGAAATTTTACGATGTGACACAAAATTAGGAGTGTGATTATAGCGTGCGCGAGCGAGATAGGAATAAGACAATCTACAAGTAAAAATAAATAGAATATGCGTGAAGTTCGTATGCCAAGAATTTTGAATGACCATAATGACATTTGTCATTTACCTTTTAAACAAATAAAGGAGTTTTAATTATTTTTTCAAAGAAATTTAGCAATGCTTTTTGAATTATATATCAGAAGTGATTTAAATTGAATATTTAAACCAATACTAATTAATATTTGTGAGAAAACTGTGCTCATCAACCTTCCTAAGTGCTTCATTACAATCGAGGTTAACTATCAGTTTGTATTATTATTATCGAGTAATGTTTTGATTAAAAAAATTACCACATTGTTTAATCAAAACATGTAATTTTTCTCTAGCAAATATAAGGACAAGAGACAAAAAACAATTGATGAATCAGTGTAAGTGCACTAAATTGAATACAAAAAAAGAGTTGTCATCTTATCGCTGTGAAACATCAAAAACTGGAGGTGGAACAAAGCCAAACTATTTTTAATAATGCCAAAGAAGTATAACTTCTTACGCGCGTACATAAGTACACGCACCCTTTTTTTTATTGACACAGTGGTTGCCCGGAAGAGATCGCTCGAAAGCGATAAGACCGCCGGTTGCTCTCCTTTTCATTTAATTATGTTCAATTTTTATATTGTAATGCAACAAAGTGTTAATAAATTAATAAAATAAATAAAATATTTAAATGATAAGGGATATTTTGAAGTTCGAGTACGCCCAAGCAATATACAGTCAAAACCGTTTATAACGACATCGTTTACAACGACCTATCGGTTATTACAACCAGATTGCATGGTCCCGTCCGAATCCCTAGTAAACTATTCAGTAAAGAAACCGCTTATAACAACATCGGATACAGCGACATATCGCTTACAACGACGAAAGTTTATCGATATTCATCGGATATAACGACCAACCGCTTCTTGTCTCAGTAAAACAAAACAATACAAACGATTTTAAATTTTATTTATAAGCATTGAATGAATATTTAGGCATATTATTACCTACGCACTTTCTCCCAACGAACAGTTTCAGCCAACAACGATTTCCGAGGCTCTTAACGCTGTAACGATTTTGCAAAAATTTGTTGCCTTTAACGAACAGTTTGATACTGGTGATACTCATACCTTGAGGAGTATGAAACGTAAAATGCTAAAAATATTTGAGGCTGGGCTAAAAAAAAACAGACTGACTGATTACTTTTGTACCTAATTATTTTGTAATAAATATTTTTGTTTCTTTTTGACTCGTTTACATATTATAATATTAACATACCATATTATAACCCATACCTACCTATTCTAGATCGATAACTATGTACATACATATGTACTGTACTTGTGTATATGACATTGCTTATAACGACTATCGGATATAACGTCGGCAACTATACGGTCCCTTCAATGTCGTTATAACCGGTTTTGACTGTAACTTTAAAATTAATTAGTTGCTATAATTTGAATTGCTCACACATTGCTCTTCCCAAACTTTAAAGTTACAAAACTGAGAATTTTAATTTCTGATTTGTAATTATTATGTTGTAGCTATCAGCTCTAAAGGATCTGAAGTTGTTTACTTCGTTGCGTCTAATCAATTCCTTGGGGATCAACGCGCATCTTATAACCACGATTTAAAATTCACGCTGCGTCTAGGTGAAAATAGAGGTTATCCATCTTCACAAGATATTATACTGGAGAGCGCGCAAAGTTCTGTATCAGTGAATATCTATAGCCAGAATAACCCTGAACCAGCCGATCAGGTAATTTAATTTAAATCGCTGTGCGAAAACTATGCGATGCCTCACAACTTAGCGAATAGTGTTTTGAAGTAATTCATAATTTAATTCATTGTTACAGGAGCGCGAGTACAAGTTTCGGCTTCACGAGGACCCTAGATATGGCTGGACCCCGACTTTAACCAATTTCGAATTCATGTCAATTCTACAGAACCTAACGGCTATAAAAATAAGAGGAACTTACAATAAAGGTGGCCAAGGGTACCTCATGAATTTCAAACTGGACACAGCGAAGATTGGACGAGAGAAAGGTTCTGCACCAGCGAATTGGGTGGAGAAATGTTCGTGCCCTAAAGCCTATGTTGGTGACTATTGTGAGGAATGTGCTCCAGGATTCAAGCACGAACCAGCTAACGGAGGCCCTTATTCCGCATGTATACCCTGTGATTGTAACGGCCATGCTCACATTTGCGACACAGCTACTGGTATAGTATTGAATATATTCCTACTTTACCCCGCTCATAACATTACGAGAGTAGGTAACGATTTGCATGCCTAAGATATATCCGACCTATATCCTTATTTAACGGCAATACGTTTTCGATAAACAAAATACCGAATTCTAGACATTCAAGCTAACACAAAAATATTAGATTAATAGATAACTGATGTGAACTGAACCAATAGTGTGCAATAACAGAAGTGTTTGTATTTTAGGTTTTTGTATCTGTAAACACAACACAACTGGAAGCAATTGTGAATTATGTGCAAAAGGGTTTTACGGAAATGCCATTTCTGGTACACCAGATGATTGTAAACCGTGTCCATGTCCTAAAGACAGTGGATGTATCCAACTGATGGACCAAAGCATCGTATGTACCGACTGTCCGGTTGGTTACGCCGGTAAGGATAGTTTTAACCCACACAAAACTCATGCTTGCATAAATTTATAACTTACCGCACATTATAAAAAAAAATATTTTTTAAATCTATTTATTTATATTAACGTAATTGTTTATAATAATAAATTGTTCTAAGTGCTAAATTTCTATGTAGGCTAGTCTAATACATATAAAATATGCTTTCATTAGGTCCAAGGTGTGAAGTTTGTGCTGACGGACATTTTGGTGACCCCACTGGCCAGTTTGGACCTCCCAAACCGTGTGAAGAATGCCAATGTAACGGTAACGTGGACCTGAATGCGGTTGGGAATTGTAACAGGACTTCTGGAGAATGTCTTAAGTGCATTTATAATACGGCAGGGGATCACTGTGATAAATGTTTAAGTGGTAAGTACTAGCCAACAATATATATTGTATTCGAGTCCAACTTCTCAATAGGGTATCGGGTAGACTAATTCACAGTAAAGAATACATGAACAATCATTAATTATTATTTATCAATCTTGTTTTTTCTAAAACAGGCGCAACAATAGTCGGGAGCATTTTTCATAAATAAATGTGTGAAATATGAAAACTTCTAAGTAATATCATATTACTTAGAAGTTTTCAAACCAATTTTTTTTTGTTACAATAATAAATAATATTTATTTTCATGTTTGTATCAAGTTATTATGTTAAAGGAGAGTTTTGTGCACTATTGTTTGTGCAACGCCATCTTGGCTAAAGAAACCTTTTGATTCATAACATTACTAGTAAATAATCTTGCCAAATAGCCTGTATTAATCATTTTTGAAAGCTAGATATGCTGAGAAATGAACCCGGGACTTCCGGTTTATTCGGCATTGTGAATGCATCGTACTATGAGTAATCCACGAAAGTGGTAGTAATGTTATATACTTTTAAATAAATTCAATCCTGAAAGAACCTTATACCAACAAGTTAAATTGGCAATTAGTTCAGCATTGCTTCCTCTGGAACTGAATAATGCCTTGTAATTGTTAATTAAAAACTCTAATTAGTTTTTAAGGCAGCGACATGCAATGGGATTTAATAACTTTTACTATGATCAGGTTATTATGGAGATGCGCTTGATCAAAACGAGAAGGGTGATTGTAAGCCTTGCGAATGTCATGAAGCTGGAACTTTGGAGAGCCCAGAGGGCCCGCCGCAATGCGATGGTCTAACAGGTTTCTGCTCCTGCAGGTCCCATGTTATAGGCAGAAATTGTGATAAATGTGAAGTAAGTCAGTTTCAACATTAAAAAATCTCTTAACGAGTTATATAATATATATGCCTTTGTAGGCTAAAATTGAATTTTATCACAATTTTGGTTCATTATTAAAATACAAAAAAGCATTTATTTGAATACATATTTATATAAAAAAAATACAAACACAATGACTTTAATCAAAAATGGGACACTGACTACTATATTGGGGTGACATAGAACAAAACAACAAAACAGAATAAAAAAATATCAAATTAGAAACCAACATAAGTGGTTTAGATATAAAAATATGTTTGTTTTTGTTATCGACCTACTTGTAGGATAAACCAATTCATAAAAAGTTATCTATCTCTTTGCATTCTTCTGATCGCCTCTTTCTGACAATTTGTGTCACGCTGTGATGAAAAGAGTTCGATGAGACGAGTTAAAATGGTACAGTTTGACTTATTTAGTGTTTAAGCATTTTTATATACGGGGGGCGGAGGGGTCTAATAATCTAATATCCTACGGCCATTTTTTTGTTGAGAAATTCAGTTGTTAGTCAGTGACCCCCAAAATCAATAACAAGCCGTAATTCTTTATTCGAAATTCAAGTCAAACCAGTTACACAGAAAACCTTAGTTTCGAGTTACAAAATAACTTTTGATTAGATTTTTAACATAAGTAGCAACCTTAACGGCGCATCGCTACGACGGTTTTCGTAAACATAGCACGACTTGCCTAATGTAGATTACAATAGATGGCGCTATTCTAAATAAATTATTTACCGTTTTTATTTTTAGGACGGCTACTACAACATTAATTCTGGCGAGGGATGCAAACCATGTGATTGCAACCTTGAAGGTTCTTATAATACATCTTGTGACGCCGCAACTGGTCAATGTTACTGCAAGCCTGGTATCGATGGGTAAATATATTCATAATATTCTACATACTTAACGAAATTAATGTTGAAGTATTTCTGATGATTACGAATTTTTTTAGGATTCACTGCGACCGTTGTCTCGCTTATCACTACGGTTTCTCGGTAGAGGGCTGTCGTGACTGTGATTGTGACGAGTGGGGCTCAACAGATTACCAATGCGACAAGTTTGGACAATGTTCCTGTCAAGAAAATGTCGAAGGTCGGCGATGTGATAGGTACGTTATATACAAGATAAGAAGTACTCATTTGTACTATTAAATTTTGTTTACGCTGTGATAAAAACCTATCTGTAGTTTAGTTTAAACACTGTATTGTTTAAGATTAGAACCGCTAGAGAACGCCACTATTGAAAAAAAATTGAGGAGTTTTGATAAATAAATAATCATTTGCTGATAGATATTAAGTATTGGACTAAATATTTATTACTTTAGACATTATTAAGTTTGTATTTAGAATATAAGTTAAACATAATTTAAGGTTTTTTTTATTTATTGTTTAAGATATTATTCATTAATGCCCAAAATAATCTCCAGACTTTAACAAAATTTACTGAGACGGTATTCTGTTCTATGCCAGAATCCGTCAATAACATAAGCAATTTACGACACGTATGACAAAGATTAATCCAAAAATCATACATTATCTTAACTTTATATTAATACTAATTATGCAGGTGTATGGAAAATAAACGACGACGAGCCGATGGTCAAGGCTGTGAGGACTGTCCGGCTTGTTATAATCTCGTACAAGATGCTGTTAATCAACACAGAAAGCAACTTAAAGAGTTAGACGATGTAAGTAAAACACAATCTCCAAGTATGAGTATGTAATAAATATTGTGTTTTCATTTATTTTACACTCACCATTATGTAGCTACCTACCTGTTACCGTACATAATATAGTAAAACTTACAGATATTAGCCAAAATCTCTAAAGCCCCAACAGTTGTTGAGAACGCCGATTTCGATAAAGAATTGCAACGCGTAAGAGGAGAAATAATGAGGCTTATGGAAGAAGCTCAGGCTCAACTTGGAAATGGCCCAGGAACTAGTTTAACGAGTAATTTAGCTGAACTGTCCGATCGATTGTCCGATGTCAGGTAAACTTTTGTCGGGCTGACTGGTATTTATTGATACTAAATATTTTAAATTGTTTCGCTAATGCACTATTACTTTAATACTTAGAAAATGTAATTATTAAAAAACACAGCTTTAATTTTCACCGAAAAAGAAAGTGATCAAAAACGAACTAAAAATAAGTACAATACAATATTGGGTTTCAGGAACATGCTTTATAAAATAGAAGATGAAAGTTACGAAGGCAATGAATCGGTAGAAAGGAGTAAAGGAAATGTTTCCAAAGCCGAAGATATCATTGAGGCAGCACAGAAGGAAATTAATGTGAGTATTGCGGAATATACCAAGTTTACATTTCTATAGCATGCTTTAAACAAACATCTACAAAATTAACCAGTTTCTTTTCTGTTTTTGGATTTGTAATAACCGATTTTGAATTGACGTAATGTAACAACAATTTTCATATTTAGAGTGCAATGGAATATCTCGATGGTGAAGGAGCAGCGGCTCTATCTAAAGCTCGAAACAGATCTGATCAGTTTGGTAAACAATCGGTGGATATGTCAGCTTTAGCTAAAGAATCTCGTTTATTGGCTGAAAAATTGGAAAATGAGGCAAAGAATATAAAGGATATCGCAGAAAAAGCATTTAACACATCAATAGCGGCGTACCAAATTGCAAAAGATGGAATTACGAAACAAGCTAATATCAGGTAAGTATCTTTATGATTTAAATCAAGATAGATATCTTTTACTCTTAACTTAAATAATAAAATGAATATTTTTTTTAGTAATGAAGTTCAAATGTTAGCCAATGAGCTCAATTCGGCTGCAGGAAAATTGGGTAGTATGACAGAATTAGCCGATCAGGCTCTGAAACGTGCTAAAACTGTATACGAAGAAGCACTTGGACTATATGCCGAAGTTAATACAACATTACTACCTGATATAAAACTCAGCAAACTACATCACGACTCAATGGAGATGAATAGGACTGTATGTACTTAATTTTTTTCTTTTATTTTATATTTAATATTTTGTACTGTAACTTTTCATTAACTCACTTTGTTTATAACCCCATATATGATATATTTAAATACAATTTTAGATCGAAGAAAAATCTGCAGAATTAGATCAACTCATAGCCAATAATCAAGAAACACTACGCGCTATAGCAGATGCTGTTCAGCATGGTAAAAACCTGTTAGATCAAGGCTTACATCGCCAGGATGAAATAAACGATCTCTTGGCAAAATTAGATGAAATACAGGCACAGGCTAAAAATGACGTTGAACTTACCAAAGCTACTTTGAAAGATGCAAATGAAATTTACCAAACACTTAAAGGTAATATAATTTTATTATCTGCTCTTAGTAGAGTTTGAATAAAATCTAAAAAAGTGATGAAAATTCTCTTGCAGAGTTCAGTGACCAAGTAACTGAATCTCGGCAGTTAGCTGAACTAGCAACTCACGATATCCCAGAAGTTCAATCAAAAGTAGCGGCGGCTGAAGAAAGTATTTCGAGTATTATTGAAGAATTAAACACAGCAAGCGACAAGGCCAAAGAAGCTAGAGACTTGGCGCAGCAGGCACAAAAGGAATACGCGGATAAAGCATCCGAGGTAGGGCCTAATTTAGGTTGTATTGATATGTATGTAATTTCTTATTATTAAGTTTACGGTAGTATTATGTACGGTTCTAACTACTAACGATGACGCACTTATCTTTAAGGCCGCTCACGATATCCGAAAGAAAGCTTCTACTTCGCGAACAGAAGCAGGAAAGTTACGTGATGAAGCTGAAAAATTATCCAGTAAGTTTCAAATAGTTCTTGTACCATTGTAACGACGAGTGTTTATAGCTATATAACTAAAATTTTTATTTATTTACAGCACGTGTAAAGGGAACAGCTCAACAAATAGAAACATTAGAAAAACACGCCGAAGAAAACATGCAACTAACAAGAGATGCTAAAATGAAGGTAACAAAATCCGGAATTCTTTAAAGGTAAAATATGTAATAAATAAAAACAGTATTTTATTAAAAATATATTTTAGGTTGGTCAAGCAAATACAGATGCAAGAGAAGCTGAAAAGCAAGTAACAAAAGGGCTCGAAGATCTTAAAGTTATCACGGAGGAATTACAAAACTTGCCAACGTTAGATGATGAAGCTCTCGATCGACTACGTAAGTTAAAAAATATTACTTCAAAATAAATATTAATATAATCTTTGACAACATTTTATTACATAATATATCGTTGTTTCTACAGAGAAGAGCTTAGATGAAGCCGAAAAGGCGCTTCAAGTACAAGATCTAGAGGGAAAGATTAAGGCATTAACGGAGGCTAAAAATAACCATCAAAGGTAAACAGCAAACTTATAGTTCGCTTTACTATAATAAAGCATTTTTTTTTAAATCACAATTATTTTCTCAGATGGATAAAACAGTACCAAGATGAGCATATTCACCTAAGTGGCGAGGTGAACAACATCAAGGATATCTTAGATCAACTCCCGGAGGGTTGCTTTAAGAGAATCGTACTTGAACCCACTGAACGTCCGAGCAGACCAGTCAATTTTAGATAGATTTTATTTACATTTAATAATTTACGACATACAATGACCTAACGTGTTACGTGTATTTCATTTTTATAAATGAGATAAAGCATATTGTATTCATAATGTTCGATCGAAAAACAACTGCAATCAATCAATTGGCACAAATACAGAAACAACAACTTGAAATAAGAAAATTGCAGCTATTACTGTCAATTGTAAAATTTCTCTGCATTTTATAATATGTATGTATGGCGAATGCTCATGAACAATATTTGTCGTAATTGATATTTAAAATGAAAATAGGTCAGATGTATCGTAAATTATTAGTAGGTACTTACGTGTTTTTAATATTTCCAGCATTTCGTACTTAGATTAATTATGATAAGTCCTTTAATTCTACCATACGAGTTATTTTGTTTGCCTTTGTGTGCCATATTTGCTGGTACGTTTTGTAAATACTTATAAATAATATTCTTTAACTAGTTAAGGATTTTATACGGCACAAATAAATTGGTTCAAAAATACCCCTACATGGTTTCGCCAAAGAAATTAATCATGAAAGAAGAATGTTTGATGGCTTGCGTGATTTATATACTATGTGACATTAAGGAGCATGAAGTAATGTATCGATTAAATGTTATTTATTCGTATTACAATCCGATAATTTACATAATTAGTTTTATTGGCCCCATTATGATCCTCATAATATAATATAATGTGTATCACACGAAAATAGATTTCTTATCATACTTCTCAATTTTTTAGTTCAATTTGTATTTAAAAAAAATTAATACTTCGTGTTTCGTAGATTATAGTAGTCTTGCCTTCAGGACTCTTGATAATTTCATCTCATACAGGTATTTTTTGAAAAATCAAAATTGCTCTATTACATAATGTTCTTATATCTATTAATGGAAGTTTTAGATTAAAACCGGGTTAATAATACGATTCAGTCCAGAATAAACTTATGCCAAATTTAGCTGTATACGAGTGGAAATAACTTTAAAATATAGACACTCGACTCCGTGAGTATGCAAACGGTACAATTCCCGCGAGGCGCACAATTTATGGCAAGCATTCTGCTGAATTTTCTTTTGTTTTTTACAAAAGTAACCTGTTTTATATGTATCCACTTCCACAATTTTCTTTTAAGGCTTACGTTTGTACAACAACACATAGTACAAAATTACGTGAATTGATCTATTGATTACTTGATTTCATAGCTTGTCGTCGGGAAATGCGCTGCACAATTAAACATAGGTACCTAATCATTAGTTGATTTCCCTATTTTATCTTGAAAACTTGAACTTGAACAGATTTATATTCTTATTCTAAAAAAAATATATTTACTGATTTGTTATTATGTTCTCAAATTAAATTTAAATTAAATCACACCTTGAATTGCAACAATAACTTATTACGATGCAAAACAACGAAAGTCGAACGAACTAAATATAATGAATCTCCTTATTCTTGACTTTAAACTGTTACAAAAACACTTGCTGATACCCAACCTGATAATCCAAATCTACACAAGAAACTAATATTTCTTAGTAAGCGTTAACTAGTTGTTAACAAAACAAATTTAGTGGAACCAAATTGGTGAATATCTCACTGTCTGTGGGGGCCTGAGTTCGAAATACGGCGATCAAGTAACACTAAATAAATGGGCGAAAAAGTCCTCGGAGTGACCATCGTACCGAGACCCACAACTGCGGTGTTGATCGCCCTCTCGACCACTCGTTCCATGAATACAAAAAGGGGAGAGTGATTTCATCACGCGTTGGTCGTTTCGAGTGGAAAAACTGGGATAATCCGAAAAGTTTCCTTAATTAGTTTCGTACCAAACTACATCCCAGAACGAATTAAGCGTGAGATGAAATAATTCTGTATATCCTCTAAGTGCTTTAAGCTCCGTGATTTTATACATTTAAATTTTAATCATACCTATCGCTATAAATGTGTACACTACATATTGCTTTAATTATAGTTACCTAATCAAAATTTCGTTATAAAAGTAGGCAATGAATTTGGTAACTTTTAAATTAAAAAACGAGCTTATGATTAATAAAAATCCCCATAATTTTTGCAATTTCCGCACGAATGGACATCATTCGGTTCTGTTTAATTTAGAGTCGAAAAATTAATTAGCTCTGGGAAGCTCTAATGAAACCAAGGACGGGGAAAACTCGCTAAGTTGCCTTGTAAGTGTCGTAAAAAGATGGTAATTTTTAATTTTTTTTTATTTCTCGCGCAATAAAACGCGTCCCTGTGTGGGAATACTTTTGCAGCTTCGTCGGACTTTTTGTAAGTATAAATTGAACAAATATAATTAAATTAATTTCGAGACTGTTTTTGATAGGTTTTTAGTTGTTGGTATTTCTTTATAAGCAAGTATGTCGTATCTACGTGATACATTGGTGAATTTTGGGTCATGACGCATATAGAAAGAAAACATTATGGGTATTACGATTTACGACCTCTAGGATGATAGTCATAATTACTGTTCCCGTACTCGACGAAAGAAAATATTGTTATATTCGCCACAGGGTGTATTGAGTAGGATAATCTCTTTAAAATTATAAGCAATACTTTGGAATCTATTATATAATAAGGGACCCGAAGCAAAGAAAAGGTTATGAAAATTAAATATATAACAGGATTTATATAAAAATCAGTATTCAATTGTGTCTGTAAAAATATACATAAATTTAGTATTCAAGAGCTTTAATGTTGTGAACGCATCATCATACAGAAATCGAAAAATTTAACGACGCTGCGGTAAACGTGCAGTTTCGAAAAATTAATTCCGCACCATTTGATTTGATTTCTTAAAAGGCCGGCAACGCACTCGCGAGCGCTCTGGCAATGAGTTATCCATGGGCGGCGTTATCACTGAACATAAGGTGAGCCCGCTGAATTAACTTAATTAAAGAATATTGTAGTAATATTTCGTACAGACAGAAACCGAAAGAAAACCTTTCAATCAATTACAGTTTTGTCGAGAATTTATATAGGTAGCTATGTCGATGTAGATACCCTACGTATATACAAGTTTGCAAGCCATGGCGAGCGTATTATAACTTTATTACAAGTGCTGCTCAAGTGTTTCACATAAAAGTAACATTATCCATATGATTGTATTGCCTTCACTTCTTAAGTGATGTAGCAAGTATTATTTTATAGTTTAATAATAATAAGAATGCTTTCCCACTGGTAAGAAACCCATTTTTACTCCACCTCCGAATACAAAGGGACGTTGACTAAATGTAAATAATTTCGAAATCTAAAGCTTACTTAATAAAATATGGCTTTGAGTATAATCGAGCTATTGTAATTTTATTATTTAGTATATTGGGAAACCTGTAGTAAACATCTATACCAAATATAATCAACATCATCTTGATGGTTGGAGGTCTTCCACAGTCCGTTTCACAAGGCATTTTCTTTTGCGAACTAGCGAACTGTGGAATCGACTCCCGGTGGGGGTCTTCCCTCAGAGATACGACCTCCAAATGTTTAAAAAGTCTACTCCTCCCACAAAGGCCGGCAACGCACCCACTAAAAATGGGTGTCTATGGGCTGCGTAGACTGCCCTTTTTGGTCGTCCCACAAGCTCGTTTGCCCCCCTATTATATTAAAAAAATCGGTTGTCTGTAAAGTCGGTCTACTGACGATAGTTGAACGTGACAACGTCATAATAAAATATCGATGGAATGGTTTCATTTATCAAAAGAAAATTTTAATTTTATTTGTTTGATAGATATTTTGAATGGATATAGAGAGACAGATGTCAAACGCTGCCGAAAGCGGAGGCTGATTGTGCCTCTTTGTCGCTCGTTCCGTGCTCTCGCTTGCACTTCAAGCCTTAAATGGAACACCTCAGAGCGAGGTAACGCCGCATGCGTCATGTTTTTTCGTGCGTGCAGCCGGCTCCATCGAATTATAAGACGTTGTCACGTCAAAAAATAATAATTATTTACCGCTGATTCGAAGAATGAACCTTTGTGAAAAGAATTATCCAAACCCTCCACAAGTTGAGTTACTCTCATGTTATAATGAACACCTATAATTCCTTGTATAGAATGAGGTACTATTGTTCCTCCAACTTCTCAGCTTTTCACCATTGTCTCAAAGTTAGCTTTATAAGATTATTTCCGCTCGTATCAACTACATTACCCCAAATCTAGAGTAGCTATTATTATGCTAAATTAGTTTGCATGTGTATACTGTATATAGTAGCATCTTGCATAGTTAAAATAAAATTCTTTGGAAATTTAGAAAAATGATTAGTGCAATAGATGTACTTAGGCTATGTGATCTGTGTTATGAAAAAACTTAAAAAAAAGTTGTCATTTAAATATGCTGTTAGATGCCCTTGTACATATTATATAAAATATTTTTTTAGATCTAACTAGTATTAAATGTATGCATAAGAATTATACCTTAGTATATTATAAAAATAACTGTAATCTTTACGTAAACAAAATTGCACAAATAGAGATCAATGAGTGGTAATTGAAACTGTAATAAGACTGATTGAGATGGAGGTATGTAATTGGAGACAGCTGTTTGTTTGGACGAGTTTTGTTCTTATATTTTTCAGGCTAGAATCGCTAAGAAATCGCTAATTGAATCTTAAGAGGTTTATATTACATTCTCATAAAAGCTTTAAAGCTTACAAATAAGCTTAAGCAGAGAATAAAGTGAGTTATATATAGCGGGAAATTTGGGCGGCGGCGTCGACATCATATCGAGATCGATACTAACTTTCATCTAATGACCTTTATGAATACATATATCTTATAAAACTATTGTTATTCTCGTACTTGGTTTAATACTAACGCTGTGTTCAAATACTATTTACGGGGTATCAGTAATAAATCGTGGAAGATAAGTTATATCGGTGTTATTCTGGAAGTTAAAAATAACCATTTAAAAATTATTAGTTCCTTGCTATGTGAACTCCCAAACAAAGCCCGCAAAGAGGCGTGGAAAAGATATTTACTGCATCTGAGGTATTTGAG